AATATTTTGGCCTCAATGTCACTCAACAGAGACTAAACAGGCCAGAACAAATGGGAAATTATTTATATTAGAGAGTCTCACTGTTGTGGTTAAGTAGTCTTAGTACATAATACTGTATGTTTATTAGGTAGAGTCTGGTGGCTGTGGTATTAGTATATCATACTGTTGGTTCATTAGATAGAGTCTCACGGCTGTGGTAGTTAGTAAACTATACTGTTGGTTTATTAGGTAGAGTCTGGTGGCTGTGGTAGTTAGTTAACTATACCGTTGGTTTATTAGGTAGAGTCTCACGGCTGTGGTAGTTAGTTAACTATACTGTTGGTTTATTAGGTAGAGTCTCACGGCTGTGGTAGTTAGTAAACTATACTGTTGGTTTATTAGGTAGTCTCACGGCTGTGGTAGTTAGTATATCATACTGTTGGTTTATTAGGTAGTCTCACGGCTGTGGTAGTTAGTATATCATACTGTTGGTTTATTAGGTAGTCTCACGGCTGTGGTAGTTAGTAAACTATACTGTTGGTTTATTAGGTAGAGTCTCACGGCTGTGGTAGTTAGTTAACTATACTGTTGGTTTATTAGGTAGAGTCTCACGGCTGTGGTAGTTAGTTAACTATACTGTTGGTTTATTAGGTAGTCTCACGGCTGTGGTAGTTAGTTAACTATACTGTTGGTTTATTAGGTAGTCTCACGGCTGTGGTAGTTAGTATATCATACTGTTGGTTTATTAGGTAGTCTCACGGCTGTGGTAGTTAGTATATCATACTGTTGGTTTATTAGGTAGTCTCACGGCTGTGGTAGTTAGTTAACTATACTGTTGGTTTATTAGGTAGTCTCACGGCTGTGGTAGTTAGTGTATTATACAGTTGGTTTATTAGGTAGTCTCACGGCTGTGGTAGTTAGTTAACTATACTGTTGGTTTATTAGGTAGTCTCACGGCTGTGGTAGTTAGTTAACTATACTGTTGGTTTATTAGGTAGTCTCACGGCTGTGGTAGTTAGTGTATTATACAGTTGGTTTATTAGGTAGAGTCTCACGGCTGTGGTAGTTAGTTAACTATACTGTTGGTTTATTAGGTAGTCTCACGGCTGTGGTAGTTAGTATATCATACTGTTGGTTTATTAGGTAGTCTCACGGCTGTGGTAGTTAGTATATCATACTGTTGGTTTATTAGGTAGTCTCACGGCTGTGGTAGTTAGTATATCATACTGTTGGTTTATTAGGTAGTCTCACGGCTGTGGTAGTTAGTATATCATACTGTTGGTTTATTAGGTAGTCTCACGGCTGTGGTAGTTAGTATATCATACTGTTGGTTTATTAGGTAGTCTCACGGCTGTGGTAGTTAGTATATCATACTGTTGGTTTATTAGGTAGTCTCACGGCTGTGGTAGTTAGTATATCATACTGTTGGTTTATTAGGTAGTCTCACGGCTGTGGTAGTTAGTATATCATACTGTTGGTTTATTAGGTAGTCTCATGGCTGTGGTAGTTAGTATATCATACTGTTGGTTTATTAGGTAGTCTCACGGCTGTGGTAGTTAGTATATCATACTGTTGGTTTATTAGGTAGTCTCACGGCTGTGGTAGTTAGTATATTATACTGTTGGTTTATTAGGTAGAGTCTCACGGCTGTGGTAGTTAGTGTATTATACAGTTGGTATATTAAGTAGAGTCTCACGGCTATACAATAGGACCTTCCATTTTATGTATTACTAAATACTAGTAAGCATAGTAAGAAAACTCTAGAGGTGGTGGTGTCTTACGTAGGTCCTGTGTTGTATATCCGTCAGGTGACCATTCACCCCTGAATTGATTGTTGTGTGCAGATATTGATACAAATTCCTACAGTCTTGTATGACTGTATCTGTAACCTAGTCTCACCAGAACAATAATGTAACGGGACTGATATCATCAACGGTCGCGACAACAAGCATGGCAGTCACATGTTGGAAGCCAGCCATAAAATTTCTATCCATACCAGCCAAAAAATTACCCTTAACTGCTAATATATCTATCAATAAAAACATAGAAATCTTTTTAATTCTGTTATCAAAATACATTGTTTTCACTGCGTCAAAATCAACAAAAAGGTATCCAGAATTTCATGTATCACTTAAACTTAGATATCACATGGAGACATGTATTAATCTCTGTCTGTAGACATTGTGATATGCATTCTCAGCAAATCATTTAATTAATATACTTGGTACATTTTGAGTGTTACGTATCCTGTAGGCATACAAATCATGCAGTTTAAACAAGTACAATACTGAGCCGTTCATATATGTTTTTTTTTTGTTTTAGATTCCAAAGTGATCATATCAGATCAAGCTAGGAAAAAAACAAAAATGGGAGTAATGCTAGAGACAATATATATAAATATAAAACATACAAGTATTCATAATCACAGATACATATTAATTTAATTTATCAAAAAAAGAAAGCGAAAATAAAAGAAAAAAGCTGTTCTTTCCTTACACAGCCAATAACTGGTACCATTTTTGATGAATATGTAACATTTGTGTCTTGATAAAGCGGCAGATTGCCTCGAAAATTTGACAATTTGCTTGTCCGTACTGTTGCTAATATTTCATTGATCATAAATATATCAATGTTTATATATAATTCCAGACCACTTAAAATATCAAGGTTTGCTAAAAGTCAGAAGAAGGGACTAGGACATATAGATGTTTTTCAAAGTTACAGAATACATGTGATGATGTTTGAAGTAGTGTATTTCAGTCCTATATTTTTATGAACATCTTGTTATAGTATTGGCAAGTACTAATGATATTAACCTACTGGAGTATTAACTCATTGTCTGTTTTATAATCAAGCCAGACACACATTAATTCATAGCACTATGAAATCCGAACATGAAATGCCAAATTTCATTATAGAAGTGTGAATTCTCAGACAGAGGCCTTTGCCACTAGCTCAAAACTCATTCAATACAGAAGTTTTTACACACTAACATACTAGCCAGTGAGACAAGACAAGTCAACTTACATAAATATAAGTTTATATATGGTGAAATACTGGAACACTCTACACAAAGCACTTATATGCAATATATCGACAGTGAAAATCATACAGTAATATTGTAAATCAACTTCTGTTCCCAGCATGTACCTGTGTAACAGTATTTCAAATGTAGGTTACAGTGTATTATAAAATAACATGTACCTGTGTGACAGTATTTTTATATGTAGGGTACAGTGTATTAGAAAATAACATGTACCTGTGTTACAGTATTTCAAATGTAGGTTACAGTGTATTAGAAAATAACATGTACCTGTGTAACAGTATTTTTATATGTAGGGTACAGTGTATTAGAAAATAACATGTACCTGTGTAACAGTATTTTTATATGTAGGGTACAGTGTATTAGAAAATAACATGTACCTGTGTAACAGTATTTCAAATGTAGGTTACAGTGTATTAGAAAATAACATGTACCTGTGTAACAGTATTTTTATATGTAGGGTACAGTGTATTAGAAAATAACATGTACCTGTGTGACAGTATTTTTATATGTAGGGTACAGTGTATTAGAAAATTGACATTTCGCTATATCTGTTAAATGTTCATATTTTTTTCTTTCTATTCTCTTGTTTTTACCTGCCAACATGTCGCTCTAGTAGAAATTTTATCATTTTAGAATATATATCTATTTCCATTAGAAGCTCTATAAATAGTACTTGTATGCATATACTGCAGTTATATTTCTCTTCAATTTACTGTACATTATCAACAATAAATTTCAAATCATGCAAAAAAAAAAAATCAATAGTACACGAATGTTTTCATGAATATAATATCAATCATTAATTATTCAAATTTTGCTTTGTTTCCATTAAGGTATAACAAAACAAAAACAAATATAAGAAGATATTTTTTCAAAACCTTTCACTGTTTTGGAAACTCCAGGAAAATTACTTTAAATCTCTATTGTATCATGATTAAGAGGTACTGAAGCAAGCGCTTAACCAGAACGTAAGAATATGCTGTACAAGAACCCTCAAATACCTCCATCATACATCTTTTGTGATGTCATATTCTAAGTTTTCTTCAAGATAAAAACATAAATTTTAAAAAATTGTATCCAAGTTGACAGTAATTTTCTAGTTTAAAAACTTCTGTTAAAATTCAACCTTAAAATTATTTTTGTAGGTGGCGTCATTTTAATTGTACACTTCAAAATAGAAAACTTGGGAGTCTCTGTAGAAAATAGCTCAACAATACCATTAAAGCACAGCCGGATTTAAAGACATGCAAAATGTATATCTCAATATTTAGTAAAAAAGAAGATCATCTATTTAAAGGACCCAACAAAATGTCATTCACAATTCACAACTGTCAATCTAATAGCTGAAGTGAAAAGATAAGTTGTTCAATACGATATGTTGAGTTAATACATGTTAGCAGTAAACAAAAATTTGTAAAAGTGATAATGTCATATATATGTATCTATTGAAACTGAAGTTTTATATCCTGTTGAGACAAGTGTAAAGGCCTATGTTGATGCTAGATACACAGAACGCCACCTATTGAGACTTCATGTTGGTGTCAATATTTATATGTTTGCATCTCGACCTCTTCAAAACGTACATCGTTAAGCTTGAAACACTTTTATAATTTTTAATGATATAAAATAAATGGAACACGCATGTGCCATAAGCGTACACAACTTTTTTCTTGTCTTTCTTTTTTAAACAGACTAATGTGGAATACGTCAAAGGGCTTAATGTAATGTGAAACTAGGACTGATGAACTTCCAAAAGTTTTATATTATTTTTTGTTTATTGTCAACAGTTTTTCCATTCTTAGACCTTCTACTACAGTAAATTCGACAAATAGATTCAGTGCCATTTACTGTTAAGGCATTTAAATTACCAGCCCGCACCGAGTCGGTTACGTTCCACTGAATGACAGACGATCTACAGTGATTACAACAGATAACACTCGATCCTTCTAACACATTTAAAATAAACTCAACTTACGGCATCTGAAGGAGGTCTTTCAGGCATATCGTCCCTTCGATTGCTACTCCTGTAGGTGTTGTATCCATTTGATCTGCTCAAATCCTCCATTTCTCTTTGGTTTCTTTCAAATCCCACATGCTTTCACATCAGAAGACTCCTCCGTTCATTACGCTAATAAGTCAATAGTGTCGTGTCCCGGTACGCTTTGTTGTTTCCAGGTGGTAAGTCATGTGACTTCCGTCAGTATTTCGCGGCAAAAAGTGACAGTACAAGGGGGACAACTCTTACTATTCAACACACTTATAAGTATTCCCTAAGAAAAAAATCATGTAAAACAATAATAAAAAAAAAAAAAAATTAAAAAAAAAATTGAAAATAATCACAATTTTCAAGAAGATATCAATCAGACTTTGAAACAGACAAATATAACAACAATAATATTTTGTAATGAAAATAATTTTAATTGGATACAAAGTTGTAACCTTCATCATACAACATACCACATCATTACACATATAAAATTAAATTGGAACGTTTACCAATTTCAATCGATAAAATAACCATAAATCCATTCTTCACTCTGAACATAGCACCACTTTTCTTTTTTAACCTTTTTTATCTACCCATGAAATTAAACATTAAAATATGTGAAAAGTAGTTTCTACTGATGGTTTAACACATTTTAAACCCTGTTTTCCATCATATACACTGTCATCTTTGATTCCTTAGACACTTTTTGAAAAATATATTTCAAAATTCCAAACAGATAACTTGTTATACAAGTTCTATAGTCCATCCATAGATTTTATAGCTAACTGAAATATGTAAGTTCTGAAATGTGACATTTTAGCAATTCTTTTTTCTAAAATACTGATAAACAAAGCATTTTATTATTTTCTAAATTCTTATACACACATCATTTCATTTTTTATTTATTTTTTCCACAGAAGAAAACAATTATGGTGGGATCATACTTAACAGTGTAATTGTATTGCACAAATCATAAAAATATACATGAAATTTTGTTATACATTTTCAAATACATGTATTTAAGTTTCTGCCATGACCCTCTCATTTACATGATGGAGCCGAAGTGTTTTTGTAAATATTACCAATTTTCATTGAAAAAATAAACAATTAAATTTTTGGATGAGCTTGATACATCTTTATAAACAAATAAATCAAAATGATGCGTCAGAGATGTTCTTGAAGGGCAGTGTATATCACATGTACTTAATTTTGTGTGAAGTATAGGTATCAATAAAGCAATTTCTTCCGTTTTGATATGCCACTTGACCTCCGGATTTTTCAAGTTTGTAAACGAATGAAATGATAAAAGAAAGGAAAAGTGCAAAGGCTGGATGAAAAGTGTGTTTCTTGAACTCCAAATGAAGAAAAGGTAATTTTATTTAAAATTAGATTTATATCAAAATGAGAATCCGGAGGAAATATTCCTCTTTATATGGTAAAGTATTGGAAACAAATTCCCCTTACCTATTAAGCTGACCTCTTTGGATCTTCAGAAAACCACTCTTGCTACTATCAGAATAGAAAGATAACACAAGAAATAATCTACTTTGTCTTTTTCTGTTGTTTTCCCTAATTATTTGTTGAACTGTCATGTAAGCGGTAAGTGCATCATGATGCCATGACTTCAATTGTCCTTTCAATGATGAACATATTTTGTGACCAAAACCAGAGCAATTTCTAACTTTAAACAATTCTTCTGATCATTGTGTAGCAGCTTGCTCAAAATGAAAATTCTATACAAAAATAGGAAACATGAAGAACATAATAAAAGAGAGAATTACACTAAACAAGTGGCACACTGGCCCTAACAGTTGCCCGAATTAAAATATTATCAAACCTGTCTTTATTGTTGTGACCCGGTATAAATATTATGTTGATAAAACACAGGGAGGATGGAAAAGAGTTCAGGTCAGTACATTTTCATACCATTAAACTACATACAACAATAAGTATAAACAAGAATGTGTTATTTCTCACTGAAATAAACAAAATATTCTCAAAAGAGTTATTTTCCTTCATAAACTAAAATAAGATTTACCCTCTCGTTAGAGGGAAACTAAGATAAGATTTACCCTCTCGTTGGAGGGAAACTAAGATAAGATTTACCTCTCGTTAGAGGGAAACAGGGGAACCCAAACATATGAAATTTACAATTTGGATAAAGCTCTACTGGGAGTTTCCATCTATGGACAGTTTTTTACTGGTTCTTCAGTTTTGAATTGTAAAGAATTTTGTTCCTGTTGTGCCCCGCCCCCAACCTTCAGACCCTTGGAGGTTAGAATCATACAACTTACAATTTCTGTTTGATGTTGACCATGGAACCTTTATGAAAAATTTCATTGAAAATGTAAATGAACAATGCAGACAAATTTGGATTAGAAAAGGTCTCTGTGCTTTGCCCAGGTGACCTAAAAGGAAATAACTGTTAAGCTACACAACTGTACATTACATGCACTGCTGTATAGACATGTGATTCTGTACATGTAGGTTCTGATGTATCACTGAACGATACATGTATGTAAAATATCAGTTTGACAACAGCTTCAAACAGAGACAACACTTGTACCATCTTCTGTCACTCATACAGTTACTACACTCATAATCCATACAACGTATCATTACAGTCGTGATACCAAATGACCACACAAGACGCCATTACAACAACTTGAGAGAAGTAATGTTGCTGCCTTCACTTTTGGTGTGTATACTGCCAGCACTGTCTTTCTTTCTCGAGCATATTTTCAGGGTATGTTACATGTGAGCACCATCAAACACTTAATTTGAATCAATGCAATACTTTGTGTGCCACCAATCGAACATTGCTAGGCCTGACTTACTTCGGTCCAGCCGATGGTCATGTTTTTCCTTGCAACTTGGAATTTTTTGGGAATCTCAATGGCCACAGAAATGCAACACAACAGCTCCTGTAACAGCCACTAGATCTAGGAGTTTTCCGAGTCCTAGAGATTGCTTTGTCTCAAACTTCCAAGAAACCATCGTTTTCCTTATCATTGGCCACAGAAATGCAACACAACAGCTCCTGTAACAGCCACTAGATCTAGGAGTTTTCCGAGTCCGAGAGATTGCTATGTCTCAAACTTCCAAGAAACCGTCATTTTCCTTATCATTGTCCTTCTCTCCATCGTAAAACTCGTTTGGTGGTTCAATCCTGTTAATGAAATCAACCAGTCATAAGTCACACTGTTTCAATTACCTTACAATTATAAACATCACTTCAATTAAGTGTTACCTTACAATTATAAACAAGGAATTTCAAGGTAAGTAAAAAGGTGTGTTTCTCACCTCTGAAATACGCAATGATGTAAAATGTGAGGAAGTTGATCAGGAGTTGAATCATTTGTATCCTAATCTACAATATCCCGCACAAAAACTACATCATTCATCCTTCATTTTTATATTTCTATATTTGATTCATTCCTCTCAAAAAAAAATTAAACTGTTGTCACGAAAAAAGACAAGGATATCCAAAGCAAAACTGACACTTAAATGAACATCAATCTGACCTCAACAACAGCTGTGAAATGATGACGAGTGTTCCAAGTTTCGTTTATATCTGAATTTTTTTCACCTTTATCAGCTGAGACCAGTTTTATTCCACGGCAAACTACTGTAATTCGGTGACAATAAGTTATCAAATTAAAGGTTCGATCATTTTTTTTTCAGGCAAACTACTGTAATTCGGTGACAATAAGTTATTAAATAAAAGGTTTGATCATTTTTTTTTCAGGCAAACTACTGTAATTCGGTGACAATAAGTTATTAAATAAAAGGTTTGATCATTTTTTTTTCAGGCAAACTACTGTAATTCGGTGACAATAAGTTATTAAATTAAAGGTTTGATCATTTTTTTTTTTTCAGGAAATGGTAAAAACATTAAGTTCTGATGGATATCTCAGCCAAAATAGTTTTAAAGCTGAAAACCTCAAGGGACCTTACGCCTGTTTTCATTTCACAATGGAGACGACTCTTATCAAACATGTACAGTGTACAGAAATAGAGATTTAAGCGGAGAAAATAACATTAATTATTGATATACCGTTTATCCACAGAATCCTGATGGTTTCTGATGTCTGGGTCAAGTTCTTCTGTATTTTCCAGACTCAGGAGATCTGGGGGTACATCCTGCATCTGAACACTTGGGGAATTGTTAAGATTCCGCAAATTTTCATGGACAGTTTGGCGAATGTGATCAAGGTACTGCAACAACAGAAATAGGCCAAACTTATTAAACTATCACACCCAATTAAACAACAAGAGGTCAAGGACCATATAATTATTACATCCAATTACACAGAAATAGATCAAGGACTATTAATTAGTATATCAAAATCAATTTAAAAATGACAGGTCAAATATCCTTTAACTACCACATCCATTTCATCTTTGCTACAATATTCAGAAAAGATAAAAAGTTCATGGACCTAAATTGTAATAACATTAATCTCAACCAAACATATTGTCAATAAACTCATCCAAGATTTTATTAATATTAGACTACCTTCCAAATTTAATCCAAATCTGTTTGTATTTAATTACTCAAAATATTGTGCTCCCAAGGTCCTACCAATTTGCAAAAAGCCTTACCTCTGTAAGTTACAAATGAATTTGGCCCATTGTAGCACTTATTGGTATGAGGCAGCAAAACAAGCGTTTTCAAAATCTGTTCATATTTACTGTTCATAATGTCCATGGTTAAAAAAACTGTAAGGTGCTATAACTCCATCAATAACCATCTAACCGATTGTCAAACTCCTCTGAGATATTATTGTTCTCATTAAAACCTGTTTATATTCACTAAGGTTATCATGCTGATAAGGTCCAATGGAAATCAGGCTGCAAAGGGCTATAACTCTTGACATCTTATTGATATACAGCTGCAGACAAATTTTTATCAAAATCTGTACATATGTACTGAAGGTATTGTGTTCACAAAATCAAGTTTACACATGACATACAATGGCTGACTAGGGGAAAAAAGCAGTATAACCACGACTTGGTTTACCTGTTTTGAGTTGAGATTTTCTTGTTTCGTTGAAATGTCCGGATGAAGTGCAAAGTCTGGTGCAAAATACTCCAGATACTCTACAAAGAAACAACATCTGAATAGTCTGATGTCCCTCACAACATAATTTGAATGGCAGAATTCAAAACCCCACCAGTGAGATATACAATTGATTACTTAAAGTGATGTATCTTACATGTATGAGAAGTAGAGTTTGATTTTCTGGAGAAGAGTGTGCAAATAAAAAAACTCACAATGAAAAACATCAGTCTGCAGTTTGGCACAAATAAAAAAATTGAAAATGTGTCACAGATTTTATAACATTGCTGTTTATGTACTGCTGTATAATAGAATAACAATATACTTAACTCAATAATTGACCTGTGGTTGCCATAACCAACTTAACAGTTTTCTCTTGAATGTTTTAATGGAAAAACTGTCAAAACTAATGTAATAGTCTATAGACTGCTCTGAGATGTTATAAAAATTCATACAGTACATAGATAGAAATGACAGTGACCATATATAATACATCTCTGTACATCAAACCTTAGTATCAATTCAAAAGCTAGTCCTGTATCACAGGAAAACCTGACCAACAATGCTGGCTTTACCAGACATAAACTAATACAAAATCCTTTTATGAAATAATCACAGACAATATATACTGACCATTATAGGGGATTTCATTGCTGATCTGTTCGTCCAATAACACGGCAGTCTCGTACGTCCAGCATCGGGCTACATTCCTCTTAGTGTAGCCTCCTCCTCCTAAGACCAGCATAGGAATATTGTAATCCCGAATCACTTTCACACAGTCTCTGTAAAAATAACAATCAATGTCATTATATTAAATTAACCAAGAATGAAATGTATGGAAGAGATCATGTAGGTGGTGGAAATTCAACAACAAAGAGACATCCACACAACTAGAATTTTAATCTGTTTATTGAGAGACATCCATACAACTGGAATTTTAATCTGTTTATTGAGAGACATCCATACAACTAGAATTTTAATCTGTTTATTGAGAGACATCCATACAACTGGAATTTTAATCTGTTTATTGAGAGACATCCATACAACTAGAATTTTAATCTGTTTATTGAGAGACATCCACACAACTAGAATTTTAATCTGTTTATTGAGAGACATCCATACAACTAGAATTTTAATCTGTTTATTGAGAGACATCCATACAACTGGAATTTTAATCTGTTTATTGAGAGACATCCATACAACTGGAATTTTTCTGTTTATTGAGAGACATCCATACAAATTGGAGTTTAGTCTGTTCATTGAGGGACATCCACACAACTAGAATTTTAATCTGTTTATTGAGAGACATCCATACAACTAGAATTTTAGACTGTTCATTTATTTGTTCAGATGGCATCCATATTCCTAATTTTCAGTATACTTTAAATCACTTCGGACACAAAATCAGTTCAGTATTTGGAATTGAGAGGAACCTGTATATGGAACTCTTTTATTACTATAATAAAGAGGATGTCATTCTGTTCATCACCATTTCATTCTGTTTAAAGCGGTGATCTGTTAAGAGAAAGGATTGGTTCAGAGTAGTTGTACTGTACAATCTGTTACAAGTTTTAAAGAGGTAACCTTCCTCTGTGAGTATATCAAACGACTGGCTGGAATCAGGCAGGAATGTGTGTAAATGTTATACCTCTTCCTGCTTCATCTAGTTAAAAGCACTACACACTCCACTTCTCTTAATGAGTTCACAATCCCACACAGGAAACATCACCTACCCATGACCTTTGATGCTGAGATTGAAGCAGCCTAGTCTGTCACTCCCTAGGGAATCTGCCCCACACTGCAACACAAAAGATAAGGTATGTCAAAACTTTTGGCATTTCAATCATCAAATTTTTTCAGATTAAAGTTTCTGTCAAATTTCTTCAATCTCTGTTTAATTATGGTTTCAGGAGCGTATGTTTTAATAATCAGTTTTCCCTCATTATGTAACAATTTTTGCAGCTGTAACATTGCATGTACAACCTTGACCTTCACCTGGACTCCAGAAATTGACATCAGTAATATTTTTTCATGTCTAATGAAGTCTTACTCGAAACTTGAGTCAGTAACCTGCCAAAAAACAAATGCTGACAAGAGATTGGAAGGATGTGAAATAAAATTTAAATTTAATGGTTTTTGAATAGATAATACATAATGTATACATAATGTCCCTAATTGTATGTGGGCAAGACAATGAGGTACATGTAATCTAACACAGGTAGATCTGTAGAACTCCATTAAGATTACTTACCTGTAACACAACACAGGTAGGTCTATAGAACTCCATTAAGATTACTTACCTGTAACACAACACAGGTAGGCCTATAGAACTCCATTGAGATTACTTACCTGTAACCTAACACAGGTAGATCTGTAGAACTCCATTAAGATTACTTACCTGTAACACAACACAGGTAGGCCTATAGAACTCCATTGAGATTACTTACCTGTAACCTAACGCAGGTAGATCTGTAGTAACCCTACACATGTAGATCTGTAGAACTCCATTAAGATTACTTACCTGTAACACAACACAAGTAGGTCTGTAGTAACCCTACACATGTAGATCTGTAGAACTCCATTAAGATTACTTACCTGTAACACAACACAGGTAGGTCTGTAGTAACCCTACACATGTAGATCTGTAGAACTCCATTAAGATTACTTACCTGTAACACAACACAGGTAGATCTGTAGAACTCCATTAAGATTACTTACCTGTAACACAACACAGGTAGGTCTGTAGAACTCCATCACAGACTTCATCACTCCCTGGAATATCGTCATATACACTGGAAAGCAAAATGAGACATAATCTCATTATAACTAATTATAAAACAAAAGAATTCCATCAACGTTAATCAACCAATCCTACTTGTCTTGAGAGCTCACACAGTCATACATTTCAAAATAGATAACTTCCTATAAAATGATATGATACTCAGAAAGTCAACAATTGACTATAGCTTTTCATCTAACAACAGTTTCATCAACTTAATCTGTTTACATCAGGTGTAATAAAGACAACTATATATTTGTCAACTTAGATTTTTCTAGTAAAGATCACAAGTGACGTAAATTTTGATGTCTAAGAGATGACAGTCACCAATGTTGAATTGAGATTCATTAGTGTTGTATTGATATATCATAGAAGATGTTTACCTTTACCATAGAAAACGAATGAAAACTGTATTTTTCCGAGCTTTCGAAAACATTTGTTGTGGTCACACAAAACTATCAAACATCTGTTAGTGCACTTCAAGGCCAAAGTGGCAAAAGAAGACAAAATGGGTGTGGTTAACCAAATGAGATGCCACCGCTGCAATCACAGCTACATTGGTGAATTTAGATGCCAATAAACGAATCAGACATTTTCAAAAGCTTGTAAAAATACATTTTTCAATCACTGTTTATGTTATTCATCTTCAATAATGACAGTCACAACTTACTTTGATCATCAATGCCTTCTTTGAGAGGAACATTTACAGAGTAGTGACGGCCACTTTCTGCCCCTATTTCATACATGTCACCTGGAATACGAAAACATTGGGATATCTACAATCCATAAAGATAACATGCAAAGAAAAACGAAATGATGATGGGTACATATACCCCAAAAATGTGCTAACATCTGTTAAATATATAACAGGCTGATTTTTTCCTGAAGCTAATGTTCTGTTGGCTTAATCTCAACATTCAAATATTGAAAAAAAAGGCCACTAAATTAATCTCAGCGATGGTGCTAAGCTGAGAAAGTGTTTTAATTGTTTGAATAAGTTTTTTTTTTCAGAATGAAGCTAGATGTATACTTAACTATCAATACAAAAAGTATCTCTCCATCCTGAACACTGAAGTTACAGTTTTTGGCTTAATGTGTTATGTGTATAAGTGTTAAATAGTAATTAAAGGATTACCTACAACAAATCTAACACTTATTAATATTTCATCACTGGTCGTCACATACATTTACTTATTTAAGAAATTTAATCATGAACACAAAATTAAGAATTCAGACAATCAACAAGTAGTTGATTAAAAGCTGCTGAAGTAGACTGGAAAGACTTACCTGTGCCTGGGAAAAAGAAGTTGCCATACTTATGGAAGGACACAGTCATGACTCTGTCTGTGAGATAGAACGCCTCCTGTACACCATCACCATGGTGAATGTCTATGTCTATATATAGCACACGAGGATGGAATCTGTAAAATAACAACAACATTTCAGTAACCAACCATTAAAAGATTTAGTCTTGTATAGAGAATATGTTACCCTAAACCAGGAACTGACACTCAATGTTGATAATGTTGGATGATTAGTTCTAGTGTAGAGGATGTGTGATCCTACACCAGGAACTGACACTCAATGTTGATAATGTTGGATGATTAGTTCTAGTGTAGAGGATGTGTGATCCTACACCAGGAACTGACTATAAATATCTATCATGATGGATGATTTCTTTACATCAACACAAACATGAACTAAACACTAGTAGTGTTCTTGATATACTATCAGTTATTGAAATATTGCACAGTAAATATTTTATAAAGAATTACTTACTTGAGAAGTTCCAGGATAGCTATCACAATATCATTCACATAACAAAATCCAGATGCCTGCAAATAAATCCATCATGTTAAATCAGCTATATATTACATCTCAAACAAGATAATTTCTGGTGCATGTGTTACAGTTATATGGTCTTGTATCCCACACAACACTACAATTTCAATAGTGTTTGGGCATTTTTCTTTGATAATTCAGCATGAAAATAATGAATGTTTAAGTATTTATGACTGCATTAAGAACCTGTACATTTACAGATACTGATCAATAGGACAAATTGCTATATTTCAATATTATTTCATAATACCAAATTCAACAAGTTATCATTTCAACCAGTTTTCTATTGAATGTAATCTTGGATAATTTTTTCATATAAGTGACATACCTCAAACTTCTTGGCATGATGGAGTCCTCCAGACCAATTTACGGCAATATCACAATGCTGAAAAAACACCAATTAGTGAAGTAACATCAATGCAATATCGGCATGGCAGGAGAAATACGGAACTGTTAGAGTGAGACAATGAATCTTCAGCATATAAAAGTGATCAAAGGTTTAAATCTGACAATTACTCTGTCACAAGATGAAAGATGGAATCTATCACTCTGATGTATCAAATATATACAGATTGATACATTAACATCGCAACTTAGAACATATCACTCCTGAGTGATTATGAGAGAAACAGAACATTCCACTCCTGAGTGACATAGACCAAGATACAGAACATATTACTCCTGAGCGATAGAAAGTAAGACCATATTAGTCCTGTATGTTGTAAGCCTCACAACTCTCAACCAAAGACAGGACTTAATAACATTTCTAGCAAAAATGTAAAGATTCCTGTTTTAGTTGGGGAGTGGCTCAAATAACAAGTTACAAGAACATAGGATGTATACTTACATTGTTGTTGAGTTTGATAGCACCTTCCAAAGAGGCACCTGTGTACATGGAGCAGAAGTCAAAAAGACCATCAAACACAGGGCTGAAATGGAGACATAAAACATTATCAAATACATGTTAACATGCATCTATGTGGTAAGGGAGATAAGATACTGAAATTGTTGGATGTTAACAAATTACAAACAGACAGTGTCTAAGGCACTTATAACAGCCCTACGAACAAACCCCAATTTGTGATTCCAAAATTTCAAAAATTTTACAAATAAGTGTATCAGTATTACCAGTCATCGCCCACATTGAACATGCCAAGCTGCTTTGTAAACTGCTGGTGGTTCTGAGGTGTTACTCTCTGTAGGAAGTCTATGTAGTCATCAGCATGAAAACGGCACATGTCATGGCCGGAAGCCCGGTAAGGTCTATAAATCTGAAAGGAGAGAAAACATGTCAGATTCTTTAACTAATATTCCTTTATGATATATAATTTTCAGTGTAATGATATTTAAAATTCTACTTATTCATACTTTTAGGCTCATTGATGGAATACAATCAACATACTGTTTGCATAAAATAAGAATGAATATTCATGAATAATGTTATAAGTTAAGAAAAACATGGGTGTCACCAACATAAATATAAATATAAAATAACATAAATATAACATTTTCTGTAAACATTTTTTGACAGATGTATGAAAAGGAAAAACCCTGTGTATAGATGAACGGGAAGGCTGGTTCCAGTATAACCCCTTCGACTTGAATTCTCAGTGTATACCTAGCCAGAAAATCATCCCCAAAAACAAACTGCCTTTCTAAAAATCTCACAAAAATGCTTATACATGTGCATTGCATTTGCCAAAATCAAATCTATCTCACCTCCATTTTCTTGTAAATGCCATAATGCAACACCAAGCAGTGGGTTAGGGCTATACGATGAGGCTTCATTGGATGACCCGGGCCTGCAAAAATATATGCCAAACTAATTATAATTTCTTTAGAATAAGGTAACATATTTTGAGTAATTTGTTATTGTAGAAAAAACATTGAAATACTAGCATATTTTTTACATAAAATTTCTTATATTATAGTTTCCTTTTTCTGAAAAATCTTAATGATTATTTTACCTTCCAAAACCCATTTTTTAAAAATTTAAAGTAAAACTGTTTAACTACACAAAAAATACATGAATAATAATCAAATCAGGTGTGAAACTCAAGAACACTGTTTTGTTTTGAATCAGACGCATGCAGTCATAAAACGCACATTCAAGAGTCTGTGATTTTCTGAGGGTAATTCTGTTACTTGTTGATCATAATCAGTCCCAAAATCAAAATTGCACAGATAGAGATCCTAGCAAACCTCTATATGAAACATCAATCCAGTATTTTTCTAGAACTAGAGTGATAAAAAACTTTCATTGTCAAAATCCAAAGTGACTACCTTTTAGCCATTTTGTTTTCCTGATCAGTCTCAAAATCAAATGGACACAATAAGGGACACACAGGAACATAAATGTGAAGTTCAGCAAGATCAATCCTTCTCAAGAAAAAGCAACAACAAACTTCATTGTAAAAGGCCAGACAGCCATTTTGTTTTCCTAAGCAGTCCCAAAATCAATAGCACAAAATTTACTAACAAAAGATAAGGACTAAAGGGCTGATATTGAGAGAAAATTTCTCAGAAAATAGAGATAACAAACTTTTACTGTATGAGTAAATCCTTTTTGATTTGAAAATAAATCTCATAATATAATTTTGGAAAATCTCCAACTCTGCAACTTTAACTCTGATTTGTAAAATATACAATAAATGTGTGATGCTAATACCCAAAGTTTTGAGGAAAACGATAATGCATGTCCTTCATCCAATATACAAAACACACACACTAGTAAAAGTGTGCAGGCTTATAAATAGATTCTGAGATACAAAAGCTGCGATATGCACCTATTGTTTCCTTTTTTGTAAACAAGTAAATTTAAATTGTTGGACTGGATGTGGAAATTATGCCCAATCTCCCAGTCTTCAGGAAAGAAATTAGGTAATGATATTGGGATGTGCAGGCTATCAGCCATGAATTCAATGCATTATAATACATTCTGATGCACTGTACTGCAGGCAAAATAGCCAAAGACAAAAATCTGCCATGGAAAAATTCATACTTTGTTTGCCCACTCCCCTTTTACACACAATTTGTTAATTTTCATCTATCCGCATGAATTCATACTGTGAACTGAACAACTTGCCAAGAACAATTTTTTTTCTTCCTTATTTTTTTGCTCTCGGACATAGATTAACAATAATATGTTTATACATGGGGGTACAAGCTAGGGAGTAAAAGGCCTTTACTGTAACCACAAAATTTTGTGTGCTTGTGTTTGTGTAATATTGTAATGATATTTGTTATCATTATAAAAGATGAATGGATGAAAATGGTTTTAATTATCTAGCCAATATAAACAAGTCGCATACATAAATCCGTTTGATAAACACAACACTTGCGGAAATAATTATTTAGGGCACTCTGTGAAAAATTGGTTATTGTCAAACTAGGTTTTACTGTGCTTTCAATGGGATGTCCTTAGCAGATCCGTTTTCGGTTTGACTACACAATGGAACACACATGGGAAGGGAGGTAACTATGTATGTCGTGCTGTCAAAACTCCATCGTTTAGAAATTCGTATAGACAACTATGGTATCCGAGAGATGCGCCCTATTAATGAAAAATTCCAATAAAACCACAATTTTGTATAACAACTGGTTCAAATAAAAGCAAATTGGCAGCGGATCTACTGAGAATACCAGCAACCTATTGCAGAAAAGAGCTCGACAGTTCCATCAAAGCAACCAAATTGCGCTTTTTCTGGAGAGTTCATCAGAACAGAACTTATGCCAATAATACATTGCCCATTAATGACACGCATAAATCTTACCATAATGAAAATTTCCAACATCTGGATCAAGAAAATATGCTACTTTTTGAGACATTGTGTTTCTCGTTTTTCTTATTTTTGCGTTTACCACTTCTCTACCTTCTTTATACGAGAGTTCTTTATAGCTTTGTGTTATCTCCCGTTTACATATCGGTCAGGAAAGACCCTAAAAGTCTTACGTCAATTATCAATGCCTTTCGACCATTCATTGGACGAGAAACTGGGACAGGAAAAATAGTAGAGAAGAGAAAGTGGAATGGAGAGATGGGGTAGAGAGGGGCCGTCTATGCCACCTGACCAGTTCTTAAACTATCGTTTTGAATGCGACCCGTTGGTCTCGTCACAACCCTAGTTTAGCCTAACATTAATGGGACAGAGATGATGAAGAAAGGGTTCCTACACTTATGGGGCAGAGAGGATGAAGAAAGGGTTCCTACACTTATGGGGCAGAGAGGATGAAGAAAGGGTTCCTACACTACGTCTATCTACCAAAGAAATCCGACATGTTTCAATATACAGTTTAGCTCTACTTACAAGTCTGGTACCACCAATGACTGTTTGCTGCTTCTAATTGAAGATCTTCTCATAACTCCGATTACGTCCCTGATTAAGGCATTCCCATAAGATATGACCATAGTCTAGTATGTGCCAGACAAATTAGAGACTATATCTGTCCAATGAGTATTTACGATGTATAATTATTTTAAGCGAACTCTTAGATATTCAATATCTTTGATATGTATCCAGAAATTGAAACTAGAATCCTTCATCTATGTATCAATATAAATAAATGTCTCACATAACGAAACAATTTTTAATATTTTAAAGATTTTTTAAAAGGACGGGACAAGGTGATCGAAATTGGGAAAAAGAAGAGAATCAGAAGATTCACATAGGTACTGTAAAATCATTAATTTTCGTGTGCAATTAATTCTCGTTGATCCACGAATTCATATGTCCGCCACCTGTTCATCATAAATATATTTATTGAGTTATATTTATTCAGCAATCGAGTGTCCATAAGATAAGTATTTTTAAACAATTTTTGAACACTTAGTTTGTTTTAAGGTCTGCACGGAATTGACAATGTTTCTGTCTCATGTGGATAATCGTCACTGCTCGCTGATTTTTTTCCGCCCAGAAGAGAATACCACATCTCGTATAGATTGATTGAACAAAATAGTAGACAAAAATTGTTCTGGTTGTAGCCTTCAATATACATTGGATTATATTGTCGGATTGGCATAGGTAGACCCAATACACGAAATCAAGGTGAAATAGTTATTGAGCATTTCAGCTTTTTCCTGGTCGCTAGAAAGCCGTTACTTGTGTAATCTAGGGTGGTTGTAGACCGTGATTAAATTTATTGAAACTTTCTATTTCATAATGAAAACCCCATTTGTCTTATATTTGAACTAAGACCAATAATCTGGGCGCTTTGTTTTTTGCTTTAGTACGTTAAATATATGACAATGTTTTCGTTGGACTATTAAATTATGGTTAATCTGAAGGGCTTGAGCAGTTCAAGGTCCCCCCCCCCCCCCACACACACACACACACCCCACCCACCTCTCCAACCTCACGTAATCAGCTTCACCTTCAGGTAATTAAATCACAAATTACGGCTAGTTCTTTAATGGGATCGCACCAATTTGCTGATAGTTATTGTCCTGTCATGATATTGTATGATGTTTGGCCATTATTACTGATATCGATTAAAATTCATGGATTATCTCCAGAATAATTGTTTTAAAGATATGCTTGATAAACCGGTTCCCGATGGATTGACACATAGCTAAAGTAGTGACGTGCGCATCATAATGAAATACCCATAATTACACTTGTTGTCAATATATTATGACGTCACAATTAGCTGACGTCATATTCATTGTATCACGGAGATTTCCACACAAAGCGGTGGACAAACTGGTGAGTTGTATTTCATTTTTTCTAATTAAGGGTGATTTATGTTAATTACTGAAGAAGTATCTCTTAAATGTGGATATGAGAGAGAGAGAGAGAGAGAGAGAGAGAGAGAGAGAGAGAGAGAGAGAGAGCATGCTACTGATGAATCATGTTTTTTATGTGAAGGTGTTTAAGTTCCGTTTACTCCGTTGATAGCCCGAGTGGAATTTGAGACAACTGTTTACCTACGAAATAAACATCAACTATTTTTTTTATTTAAAAAATAAATTTGAGCTTCACGTAAACATGCGTGTATTATCAGTTGGGGAAATGCAATTAAATGAAGCCTTCTATTTCAGATTATTGGTTGTACGATCTGGTTATTTTTGCATTTACGTCATGACTCAGCGACGCCACATTGTAGTAGATCCTTCTTCTATAGATCAAAAGGTATTTTGTCGCCACAATCATTATTGAATAATTTACATGATATACCACAAAGAAAGGTATGTGTTGTAAATTTGCTTGTTGATGGCTCCTAATTTTGAATGATATAGCGCACTATTAAACGACAACAATCAATATAATTGTATTTTGAATTGTGTTTCGCAAAGAAACACATGTCATTGTTTAGAGAACTGCTTCCTGCAGGTTTTCACAATAAGACAGAACTACGTAGTTTTTAAGTGAATATACTCATAAAATGAAAGTGTTAAATGTGTAGTTTCAAGGGGAATTAAATAAGCATTTCGTACACTTGAGTAAAAGAGATGGCATAGATTAAACTGTCTTGAGGTATAAGAAATCCTTCAATTATTCTTATTCGCAGGATATTGCGGATGTGGCCAGTCTGGATGGTACAGAAGGGTGCCCAGCTCCACTGTTGGGAAGATGTTTGTTGGGATGTTACTATTTTTTCAGGCCAAGTAAACGACCCATTATTTACGAGGTTGACCCAACATTATTCGTGGAGCCCGTTTGGACTGGAACTCATTCGACTGACGTTCAATCAGACGACGAAGTGGTAATCGACACAATGGTGGAATCTAGGCCACTGCGACTCATGTCTTCGGTATTCTCCAGCACCCTGGCGCCATCTTCCAGGTATCCAAGGGCTGCGGTCGAGCTACCATGCCAGCTACCCGACGAATCGGAATCCCCAGCTGAATTAATTTCGAGGCAGATGTCAGGATCATACGGTCCGATTTATGAACATGCCAAAGGTTCCATACTGGCAATTTCAGAGAAAAGTGTGCGGGAAACCATGGAACTGCCAAACGTGTCGGCAGGTAGCAGTACACAGTTTCTCGGTGTGGCCATGGGTGATTTTTTTGCTCATTAGATTACCCCATTATAAAGGTTTTAATTAAAAATGAAAAAAAAATCCTTGCTAAAATTGGTCCTGTCATGTTAAAGTGGACAATGTGGGGTTTCATTTTTTTCAGGATAATATTTTAGCTTTGTGTTGGAGATTACTATTTGGGCAGTCTCGAATCTGTGTCTACGCACCAAAAACTAGCTTTACAGGAAGTGAAATTTTCATAGTGCTGAAATGTAAGTACTTTGTTACCATGACAGTGTTGTTGATTGTAAGTTCTCCTAGAAAGTTGTAGTGTTGGGTTGGAATTAGCAGTATTTTTGCATTTTTAGCATGTTTTCAGTAGGTAACCATGACAATCAAATGTCAGAAATCAGAGGAATTTTTTTTTTTACACAAATTTCATCTCTCTACTGTTAATGTAATTGTTATATAGTTTATAAATATATATACATGTAATGATGTATTTTTCATAACCAATCTGCTATACCTGTATATCTCAAACATGACAAATAATTTCAGGAAAAATGCAAATTAACTGTTTACTGCTACCGCAGCTGATGGCGACATAGGTAATCAAAAACCAGTTAAAAAGAGCCCGGATGTGTCCGCACACCGATATGAATGGTTCCGATCCATTCTCGGATGGACCAGCTCTGTGTAACTTTCACGACAATGGTGATAAATAGCTACAATCGGAATAAAATGTTTAAATCGTCTCACGACATTACCAATACTGGCCAGTGTAATTTCTATTTACTGTACCCACAATGCAACGGGTTGTTTGATAGCTTGATTAAGTACATGTATATTGCCGACAATCTTGTGTGTGCTTTGTGAATTCTCAAGAATGTGTTTGTCAAATAACTGACCAGATGATGTGGTCATCTGGTCAAATGTGAACGGGTGATAATTATTTTTCATCATGTACACAAACCATGATAGTTATATCACAATAAAATATTGATGATCGCTGGATTCTTATTCTTATTTTTAATAAATAACAGAGAAAATAGATTGTTTTGAAAAGAGGACAACTTTATATAATTCTTGTCAACATCAAAACACATCACGCAACATATACGTTCGTGATTAAAAATAGCAAACTGTCACTGAAAGACTTGGTAAACAGACGATTTAATTGTGTTGGCGTGATGGTATCGCATTCAGTACATTGTATATCATTACAAAAAAAAATATACTGGCTTGTTGCTTGAAAATAAAGAACATATTGTTGCAACAACCACGCAAATGGATGACATGAAAGAACTGACTTTTTTTCGACTTTCTATAGCTTTAATGGGGTTTTTTTTTCAAACATTTTATTGACGAAGACAATACAAACATAACATTACAAATATATTCTCGCACAGGAAGGTTCTCATACACACATTCACACTTCTCATACTCCAGACAATTAAATACAAGTACATACACCTACACACATACTTTCAGTCTTAAATGTTCCTTGCAAACGAGATACATTCCTTCTTTTTTTCACATAGATGCATTAAAATAGATAGGGTCTAAACTCGGTGAAAAATGGGTACCCCAGGGAGCTATGATCAGAGGGCATGACTAAACTGTGTCATCCCTGCTAATATGTATTGCATTTTCACATACTTGGTAAATAAAAAGGATATTATAATTATTGTAAAAGAATGCGGGGGGGGGGGGGGGGGGGGGGGGGGGGGGGGGGGGGGCTGGAGTGTTGAATCTGGGAAATGACTAGAATCATTTAAAAAAAAAACCGCGAAAATTATGTTTAAAAGTAAAAACGGGTGAGGTGCACTTACCCATGAATGAAAAGTTAACTACATAGTAACGTTTAACTACGCAAGAAACGCTGAACTACGCAGGATTAAGGCAAACCTCGGTGACCGGAGTTTAATCCCTGCAATTTTGTTTTACAAGTCAATAAATCATTTCGATAAAAATATAACAACATATGTACGGTATAACTTAATGATGGCTGCATCAGTCTGACATTTCGGCCTTTTAGGTCTCACCAGTGATGCCAAGTCTTTAAAGTCCGGAAGATATATCGTTATGGAGCTGTCCATAATTCCTATCTAGTTATATTGTAATTTTTTTTTGCTTCTTGAATAGCCATTGTTTTAATTTGCGGTTCAGAATATACAAATGTACTTCACGTATGGAATTGATTTAATATTTTTGTCTAACAACACTGAAATTTAGGGATAATGAGAATATGAACTTTAAAAATATTGAGTTTACCTTAATTATTCATGACAACAATGCATCTATGGTGTTTCCATACTAAAAGTAGAATTAATTTGGAAGTTTGGCATTTTTAGAAAAGGGGAGTGGGGCATCAGTTAAGTGTATTTTGCATCTTCCTTTAAAATGACCATACTAAGAAAGCGAGACAGACGTGACATCTTACATCCTCAATACTGTATGGGTTACGATCAGTGAGTGTAACCCCTGCAGTGTCGAGGATATGTTCAGTGAGTGTAACCCCTGGAGTATCGAGGATATGTTCAGTGAGTGTAACCCCTGGAGTATCGAGGATACGATCAGTGAGTGTGACCCCTGGAGTATCGAGGATACGATCAGTGAGTGTGACCCCTGGAGTATCGAGGATACGATCAGTGAGTGTAACCCCTGGAGTATCGAGGATACGATCAGTGAGTGTAACCCCTGCAGTATCGAGGATACGATCAGTGAGTGTGACCCCTGGAGTATTGAGGATACGATCAGTGAGTGTGACCCCTGCAGTATCGAGGATACGATCAGTGAGTGTAACCCCTGCAGTATCGAGGATACGATCAGTGAGTGTAACCCCTACAGTATCGAGGATACGATCAGTGAGTGTGACCCCTGGAGTATCGAAGATATGTTCAGTGAGTGTAACCCCTGCAGTATCGAGGATACGATCAGTTAGTGTAACCCCTGCAGTATCGAGGATATGTTCAGTGAGTGTAACCCCTACAGTATCGAGGATACGATCAGTGAGTGTAACCCCTACAGTATCGAGGATACGATCAGTTAGTGTGACCCCTGGAGTATTGAGGATACGATCAGTGAGTGTAACCCCTGGAGTATCGAGGATATGTTCAGTGAGTGTAACCCCTACAGTATCGAGGATACGATCAGTGAGTGTAACCCCTGGAGTATCGAGGATATGTTCAGTGAGTGTAACCCCTACAGTATCGAGGATACGATCAGTGAGTGTGACCCCTGCAGTATCGAGGATATGTTCAGTGAGTGTAACCCCTACAGTATCGAGGATACGATCAGTGAGTGTAACCCCTGCAGTATCGAGGATACGATCAGTGAGTGTGACCCCTGCAGTATCGAGGATACGATCAAGGATACGATCAGTGAGTGTGACCCCTGGAGGAGTATCGAGGATATGTTCAGTGAGTGTAACCCCTATCAGTATCGACCCCTGGAGGATACGATCAGTGAGTGTGACCCCTGCAGTATCGAGGATACGATCAGTGAGTGTGACCCCTGGAGTATTGAGGATACGATCAGTGAGTGTAACCCCTGCAGTATCGAGGATACGATCAGTGAGTGTAACCCCTGGAGTATCGAGGATACGATCAGTGAGTGTTACCCCTGGAGTGTCGAGGATACGATCAGTGAGTGTAACCCCTGCAGTATCGAGGATACGATAAGTGAGTGTTACCCCTGCAGTATCGAGGATACGATAAGTGAGTGTAACTCCTGGAGTATCGAGGATACGATCAGTGAGTGTAACTCCTGGAGTATCGAGGATAGATGTCTTATAATGTGCAATCCTTGTTACAATATTTAGAATGCATTTTTGTATAGATTTTAAGCACACAATGAAATAAACAAGTTATGTTATGTTATATCACGCACCTATATCTTGCTATCTAGCTGTGACCGGTTAGTACCGGTAAGTACCGGTTTAGAGGAGTAATCCCGTTAACCTTGACATTAAATTTTTTTCACATAATATCGACGAATCGCTCATCCTGGTTGCTCGTGTCAATGACCGGACGAATCATATTATATATATGTGGACCATGGTTTATGAATTTTGGCCACGTCTCTTTAGACACGGTAATAGATATTATAAAAATCACTTCTTTGATGATAAAGATAATGCAAAAAATTCGAAAATTGGCCTACAATTCGTACGTCACAATACACGAGAGTTAATGTAAAAACATAATATTGAGACATTGTTTATGTGGTAAACATGCAATTTGTGTAAACAGTGTGAAACGATATCCATTTTCAGTCTGTAGTTGACTCCTTCATTCTAATACTGCTGTATCATGTTAATATATACTGGTATGATTTATGTATACAAATCAACACAAAATACATATGTACTAGCATATGTAGATTCCATGAATTCAGATTTAAACCATGATGACGTAATTGTACACAAGTTATATAAAAATGGATATACTTCTGATAAATAAAGCTTGAACGTTTATATATCAAATAATAAAACATATTAATTTTCTAACACGTAAATCGTCAAATTCCGGATAATTTGTCCCATTATCAAGATACAATAAAAATATATTCCTATATATAGATATTTAAATTGAATAAAGCATCAGGAAGTTTTTAGAAATGAAAGCGAACGCTAGTGATTAATTGGATGTCCTAGATCAGAACAAATGGGTGTTTTTAAGATGCGTATTACTGGAATAGATATATGATCAATGAAGTAATAACGACAGTACGGACAAGCGTATTGTCAAAATTTCCGGGTAATCTGCACCTTCATCAAGACATAAATATTACATAAGTTGCGTCTCATATAAAGACCATAAAGCAAAGACAAAATTACACACTGTGAGTGTCGCGATGATCCCTTCGGCAGATGAACGCAGAAGGCCCTAAGGAGCAAAGGGGTTTTATGGTCGGTACATCTCGGTCTACCCTAAATAAGGATTTTTTTATGAAAGATAAGACACTTTATTGTTAAGATTTTAATAGATGTATGCAAAGTAAGAACAAAAAATGATGACAATCACCAGTTAAATGCACAAAAGTATATATAAAATACAAAATATATTTTGAGCCCAGGTCAGTCAACTCGTGTACAGAAAACTCACCCCAAAAAAACATGCTTTTTCTTCTTTTTGGGTAAAACTCGAAATCGGCGCCAAATTTTAAATAGGCACAAAAGAAAAGGCTTAAGAACCAGTGGAGAATAGTAATTTATGTTTATATATGACCACGTGAGCACGGCCACAAACAATCAGTAATATTTGAATTTAAACCGCTGGACTTAATATATATACAAGACATGCTCATTTCGTCAACAATTCTAATTAACATTTTAGAATCAAAATTTGAAAAAAAAAATGAAATTTTATTTGTGTATTATAAACATACGTTTTGTACCTTATATAACTGTTTGTATTTTGGCCAATCGTGACGACCTTTACAAGGACATAATTGTTTGTATACAAATACATGATTGTTTATACCTTGGCCATGTAGGTCATGTACAAGTACACATTTTTATCACATAATACGCCTCTTACTCGGTGAGTTCGCCCATGAAATAATTTAGCGTATATACTACAAGATTTTTCTCCGCATTTTTACTGTAAGACATCTTAAATGTATTTTTTCTGTGTTATATTATTAAAAGTACATTTGTATCATAAGACATCTTAAATGTATTTTTTCTGTGTTATATTATTAAAAGTACATTTGTATCATAAGACATCTTAAATGTATTTTTTCTGTGTTATATTATTAAAAGTATATTTGTATCATAAGACATCTTAAATGTATTTTTTCTGTGTTATATTATTAAAAGTACATTTGTATCATAATGAGTTTTCGTTTCCCTTAGAGGTGTTATGAAACTCGTCTCGATTTTCAATTTTTTACTCGGCAGTGTTTGAAAAAATGAAAGCATCTAAGACTGGGTTCGTCTAAAATGAAATGAAAACTGATTTTATATCCTATATTTCCGTTGGTCGTGTACGGTCATTTACAATATCTAATTGACGATTGAAGTAGTTCTCATAATATAACAGTACGTATCTAGGCTGAGTGCATCAGTGTACAAGTGAATGATAGTTTGCATAATACAAATGTTCGTTCTGTGCAAATATGTCGGATTTGTGCATTGCCTTGCAGGCCTGTTTCTTCTTTCCAATGACCATGAGCCATGTTTGTAACTGAATACACACGTACAAGTTCCGTTTAAGTATTTCGATATATGTATCTTCGTCTGTAAATTCTGATTACACGTAATTTTATTATGAGTAAAGGATTGCTCTGACGACATTCTGGACCCTGCAAATTTTTGTGTAAATGAAATACATCCTATGACGTGGTGATACATCTCTACCCGGTCGTGCCTCAGGGTCATGACGTCACCGATTTTGATTGGTTTGAAATCAGGTATTTGTGTGATCATTGGACAGGCATTCCGAATGACGGTTGAGCACCTGATCCGTCATAACTGTCACGACAGTGTCATTTTCCTACATACCTAACTTCCGTTATACAAAACACCCCGCTATCCCTAAAACCTATATCAACCAAGCGTGTACACAATTTGACAGACCTTAGGTAGAAGGGCCGTGTGGAACTTCCGAACAATCACTCCTAACTTACCAATTTCATTTCTGAAAAAATTAAGTATGTTTCTCGTTGTGTGTTTGACTGTAGTACAGTTGGCCACTGGTCAATTTCAACCTTTTCCAGGACCTAACGTTAACAATGGACCAAGAATTCCGGGACAGAATTTCCGTAAGTACATGTACATAAATTTCCAGCTAAGTTTAGTCTCGTGATAAATTGTCAGACAACCAATATATTTGCTCCACCATGATCCAATATGAGTTCTCTTTTACATTCTGGTATTGTTTTCAACTTGATAAAAAGGTCGAATTTTCTGTGTTTGGAAATGATTTATGTAACAAACACGACCAAATAAAATCCTTCTCGATAATTCCTATCGCTGATTTAAGATTGACACCATGGTTATTTTTTTTCGCCTTGAAAAAAATGTAATAAATAAATAAATGAAAAAATAAATAAATAAATAAATAAATACTCACCAATACTAAACCATAAACTATATTTATTCGATGAAAGACAATAAATCAATATATTGTCAATATATTAAACGTGTTCCTTTATCACGTAGAGCCGTTGCCGGTAGGACCATTGGAGCCCATAGGTCAGCCCGCCAACCCACCGGTATTCCAGAACAATGGGGTACTTGCAGGAGCTGATTTGTTTGTGTACGGCACGTGCTACTTTAACGAGTCAGGTTCAAACATCAGAGGGCGTGTCGACTTTCAACAAGCTGTAAGTAAACGGTAGTTGATACAGAACATTCAGTATTTTTTATCAAAAGTGACCAGCGCAGTTAACGATATTGAGTTCGATCCATATGTTAGCTGAATGGAACGTACTAGATTTTAGTAAGATATTACCATATTTTAAAGATTAATGACACTGGATTTATCTTGTCACAAATGTTAAGTTCCTCCAGGAAAATAGAATAGAAAAAAACAAAAACAAAAACAAAAAATGAAGAAATAAAAAAAAATAAAAATAAATAAAAACAAAGACAAATAACAAAACAATGACTTATTCTTGAGAACAAGAAATGTTCAATGTTTCGTGCTTTTACGCTTCATTGTTATTTTTAATTAAAATACGATAATGTTAGTTTTTTTAAGGAACTTTTTAAGTTTTAAGAACAAACTGCAGACAGATTGTTTAAGAGATCAATCTATTTTCCTAAGGTCTGTAATTTGGAAAAGTTGTAGAATGTTATCGCTCTAGTAAATCATATGTTTGGGCGCTCATCTTCTGACAAATTTACCGGTGGCGACAACATTGTATTAATGAACTGGAGAAAATCTTAGAATTTTAAAATCCCAATTATCAGAACATAATCTTGAAGTTTCCCAAACCAATACAGATTTCTATAACGAATATGCATATATTTCATAAACATTTATCCTTTTTCTTCTATATAGCAAAAAAAAAAAAAAAAAAAACACACAAAAAAATAAAACGAAACCTTTCACGAAAACAATTTTACCGCGTACGATACCTAATAAAACACGAACTCATTTACTAAAATACCTTCGCTACCCAAAGGTGTTCGTAATCCTTAGAATAATTTGACAACCGGACAAATGTAACACAGCTTAATATTCCAATAATTTTGCGAGGAATTGATGCATTACAATGTCACACGAAGAAAAAAATTTTGACATTTTACAGGGTGACATCTGTATTTACTCCATCACGTGACAAGTGTTACCCGCCAACCGAACCTACTTCATCATATTGACATATGATAGTGATTTAGAGACGATACACATGAGTTACGGGACCAATCACTTGCTTTACTTTCTTATATCTATTAATGAAACGTTGTATTTAAACTAGTATTTTTTTGCATTTAAACCAACAGAGAACAGGTGGCCCGACGCGCGTGCGTGTGCAGGTGGTAGGCTTGGCGCCGAGCTTGATGAGCGATACTGAGCATGGAATCCACATTCACGAGTATGGCGATGTTGGACGTGGTTGCTATGCTACTGGTCCACATTTCGACTCAGATACATTTTCTTTCCACGGTTCACCAAACAACCTCGGAACGTAAGTCTATGATGCAATTATCTTCTTTCCAATTTATATGGTGACGTCACCACCAATTAATACATAGCCAAGGAACTTCTGGCACTTGTATCCACCCACGAGTGTTGAAGGAAACTTTAATGTTTCATCAACTTTCCCATTTATTTGTTGACGTCACCACCAAAAAATACATAACTGTGGAGCTTCAGGCACTTGTATCCACCCACGAGTGTGGACGGAGACATCCTGGTCAGAACTGCAGAGTAATCTTTGTTGTTTCATAATGCATATTTTTTTTTAAAGTGATGACTCCTCACAGTAAGAGAAAGAATTCTGCGAAAATATCAAGTAACATTCAATCTCAGGTCTCTAGAGAGTGTAACCATTTTTTCCCTTCATGTCATGAGCGTTTGCTGATACAGCATAAGAGATGTAAAATTTGTTCCGTTACAAAGAGCCGATTTAACACCAGACGATAGATCTGATACAAACAGCTGATTTATGGGCAACTGCACAAACTATGCCCTTTTTTCTTTCTAATATGTAATTGTTTGCTTAAAGTCCTTTTGAAGTACGAGATTTTGAAACGCACGAAAAGCAGTCTGTCTATAGGAATAAATTGTAGTAAGTATTTTTGTTTGTAGCGGGAACGCCCACGAGGGTGATATGGGGAACCTCCGTCAATCTAATGCTGGGGTGATAGACTCGGATATGGTGTTTCCGCTGATGAACCTCCTTGGGGATAATGGCGTCTTAGGCAGGGCTGTTGTGGTAAGTTGTACAATGGATCGACACATACCTAATGATAATGTCATGTAAGATATTCAGAGATAAAGAATGACAATAAATACTGCTTCCTATAAAGGACGCAGTTAAACCGACACATGAGAAACACGTGTATACCACAGTGAACAGACACATGGGAAACACGTGTATACCACAGTGAACAGACACATGGGAAACACGCGTATACCACAGTGAACGGACACATGGGAAACACGCGAATAGCACAGTGAACAGACGCATGGGAAACACGCGTATACCACAGTGAACGGACACATGGGAAACACGCGTATACCACAGTGAACGGACACATGGGGAACACGCGAATAGCACAGAGAACAGACGCATGGGAAACACGCGTATACCACAGTGAACGGACACATGGGGAACACGCGAATATCACAGTGAACGGACACATGGGGAACACGCGAACAGCACAATGAACGGACACAGGGGAACACGCGAACAGCACAATGGACGTATACCACAGTGAACAGGGGAAACACGTATATCACAGATATGGGGAACACACACGAAACACAATGGACGGACACATGGGGAACACGCGTATAACACAGATAACGGACACATGGGGAACACACTAATACCACAGTGAACAGACACATGGGGAACACGCGTATACCACAGTGAACGGTCACATGGGGATCACGCGAACAGCACAGTGAACAGACACATTGGAAACACGCGTATAGCACAGTGAACGGACACGTGGGAAACACGCGTATACCACAGTGAACAGACACATGGGAAACACGCGTATATCACAGATAACGGACCCATGGGGAACACACACGAACAGCACAATGAACAGACATATGGGGAACACGCGTATAGCACAGTGAACGGACACGTGGGAAACACGCGTATACCACAGTGAACAGACACGTTGGAAACACGCGTATATCACAGTGAACGGACACATGGGGAACATACGAATAGCACAGTGAACGGACCCATGGGGAACACACGCGAACAGCACAATGAACAGACACGTGGGGAACACACGTATAGCACAGAGAACAGACACATAGGGAACACGCGTATAGCATATATAAAGATTTAGTTTGAGTAACAAAAAACACATTGTTAAAAATTGATTCTTGTATTTTTTCAGTTACACGAAGGTCGTGACGATCTCGGAAGAGGGGGGAATTCAATGAGTTTACAGACCGGAAATGCTGGAGCACCGTTGGCTTGTTGTGTCATTGCTTGGTCAGACTCGACCAATTGGAGCGATCCTTTTATTGCGCGAAACGGAAACAACTTCAACCAAAATGGAGGTAACCAAAATTTCCAAAATGGTGGCTTTCAACAGCAAGGACAACAACAGTTTCAAGGAAATGGCTTCGCTAACAACAATTTCGCTGGATAATCCCAGATAGGACTTTAAAGTGATATATTTACCGAGATCCTAAGTTTTAAGACACAAATTCCTTAATTCGAACAGTTTGAATGTTTCCTGATACATGTATATATGTTCGAATCGAGATTTTCCTTGATGAGAAAGGATAGCTTTAAACCAGGAAAGACTAACACATTAGTTAAGCAATCTTTACTGCAAACATTCGTTTGGAGGTCATGTGACTCACACACGTGCAGCATTATGCAGTGCGATTGAAATGGTTGTTCAGTGTTTGGCAATGACCCGTATATCACTTAGTCATTTGAGATTTGAGCAGGGCCTTTGTGGATTATTTGGTTGTCAATGGGATTTCCTTGAGAGATAATTTGTTTTCGTCTTGGTATATTTGAGGTTAAACAATCCACATAGCTGTCACGACAAAACGCCTACTTGCGAGTATACAGTGGTTAAGTCACAGGAGACGTAAATCCTTGATTAATTCCAGGTTGTTATCATCAGCGTCTAATGGCCCAACCCAGTACAGACACTTAATGTCTTAATTGTATAACCCTCTTACAATGGGCACAACTACCTCTTTTGAAATCTGGTGCCAATTATTCTGGAGTGTAGAGGTGAATGCCATAGTTCCACCATTAAAATGTATTTATAATATATATGCATTAACCATTATATCTATAATGGTCAATTTAATGAAAAACAGTGTTATTTTGTTTTTATATATTCCATTTGTAGTGATAATATGTAAGGTAACCAGATGTTTGGAGTTTTACATGTCTGTGAACATAATAAATAATTCAAAATGATCCGATAAAATGTCTTTTCTCTTTAATTTGGAAACTTCATGCAAGCAAGTTTTTTTTATTGCACTGTGTTGGATACCTGTTATCTCTGTCTGTTGAAATACATAGCACATATGACACCTTTTTTTTTTACCTCAACTGGCCATGCGAGCTGACCGCCGTCCGTCTATGCCCATCGTCTATCAAGTGTCAATTAAAAAAAACTACTTTTCCCCTAATATTCAAGAGTCATATCATGATATTTTAGGTGGTAGGCTCCTGTGATGACACCTGATATGACCTTGACCATCATTCAAGGTCGCAGGGGACAAAATTGTCAAAACCTTAAAACGACATAGGCTGATAAATACAAATATCATCATCACATAGGGCCAATAGTCTCATGCGATGAAGCCCAGCAAAGTTTGTAAAAAAATTCACCCACAAACAGGGTCACGTGGGTCGAATTGGTTGGTTAAAACCTTTTAACGATTTCTTCTGATTGGTATTTGGTTTATACTTCCAGGAAAACGAAATTGTTTGAAAAAACAATTTACCCACATTCAATTGTTTCATAAGCCAGATCTAATTAAACAAAATATCTGGTAGCATCATGACGTTTGATTGGCAAGCTTCTATCATAAAGCCCGACTACGTTTACCAAAAATACACGGGACCTTGAAATATATTTAAGGCTACGTGGGTCACAATTCTTAATGAAAGAATTTAAGATTGGTTTCCTCAACCTCATATGGATGGGGATCTTCCATTTGACTCGGACATTATATTTCGTCGTGAGGCTGAAGCAGAACTGTCGCAACACAAGATATAATGATATGGATGTTATATCGTGAGAACAGATAATATAGAGATATGTAGTCATTGCAAAAATTGTGTTAGAAATATACATTTTCCTTGCGACCAGCTGTTGAGATCAAATACTATATTATGTTGTTTTGGTACCATATGTTAACATGCGTTGCACCAAAGCTTTGCTTTTCAACTCAAACAACATGATAACATTCATTATTACAGCTTTGGACCAATCGTTTGCAAATTTCGATTTTCACGAAGCTTTTCCACTGAGAAGCTTGATAAAATAGACACGATTATTTAAATATATCTGAAATGTAATTTATCATCTGGTGTTTTTGTCAACAATCTTAACTTTACTTAGATGTCACACAATATCGACATAAAATAAACCAGACGTCATATTTGTTATAATCCATTTATGCATGAACATCTATTATAACATATTGTATACCTGTTTCTACAGCCCGTCTCAGCTTCAACTTATTCTCCCCAATTGGGTGTCTTTATCTTACTTTACATTTGGTTTGATCTGTTTAATTTCAGGATATGATAATGCCTAATAACATTTCAATTTTAAGTTCAAGATTTTCCGAAATGAGTATCAAGAAAGAAGTGTTATATCCTTTTCATCACACAGGCGTTTATTTGTGCAAATATTACGGAAAGTGCGCTTTTCCGTGTATTTTTTTTCAGTTTTCCTGGCTCCATGGTGGCTTCGACGAGTTAATGACGTCATTTTATTGCCAATTATGACGTCATATGGGTCATATATCACATGTGTTATTAAAACAAAAATATCTTATGGGCAAATGCACTCTAAATACAGTAATCGTGTGATAAATATGAAATCCGACTTGAGCGTCCAATCGATATGTGATTTATGAGATGAGTAAAAGAATTCTTCTTTTTAGCTCATTAATGGCTCAGTAAAGTGAAAATTTTCATAAATTACAATATCAAATGGCAATATATTCAAAATATTTCATTTAATCACAAAATCGATTATTCATACAAATATTTCAGAAAACCGTTTTCCCGGATATCCCTATATCAAACATGGCTCTCAATTGATATTTTGTATACGAAAGCTGTGATTAGCTGAGTTAGAGACCCGGTTTCGACTCCGGTCAATGCGCTTTGCAGAAATAACTATTAATGTTAGATTTGCCATGATATGCACATGCTTTTATAAACTTGTTCAATTACTAACATTACGTAATAGAAAAGATCTTTGTTTCTTTACGTAAATAATTAATCAAGTATATTATAACATTTTAAGCCCTATGTTAATTGTTTAAATATCATGCGACTTCTGACAATGATATTGTCGGACACCATTTGAATTATCATTAGTATCGTTCTTCCTTGTGTATGCACGCATGTGATTTTCAGATATTTTTTATTTTTTATATATGTATATATATGTTATATTAGCCTCATTTTGATAATTAATATTGTACTATTAATTATTTTACTGTTAAACTTGTGAATTGTAATATTTAAAATAAATTAGCATTACAATACAATTTAATGCGTAAAGTTACTAATTAGGATTAAAGCACCCTTTCAAGCCAAAAATGGGCTTTGGCACATCGAGGTGTTTTGATTGGACGGTGAAAATGACCTTCACATTGACTGAGCGCTCCTCAACTCGTTCTCCAAAACAACACAGCTGAGGAAACTCACAAGGACACAGAGTACGTGATACTCTCAAGACCTCTTTTCGGGACTTTTTTGTGTGAAGTCAGTTACAGGGGGGCAATGTATAAGGCACAGAGGTTCTGTGCCCTTTCAAGGAGATGTATAAAAAATGTTTGGTCCAGATATCAAGCAGAAAGCCTGACTGGCGCCGTACGATCTACACAAGTTGTGCGCCATATTTCTACTATTGACTTACTTCATCCAAAACATGACGACTTTTCGGAGCGACATATCGGTCCTGGTGATGCTGAGAAAAGGGCTATGCTGGATTTTCTTGAACTGAAGGTTCGTATAATTCAATTTGCCCGACAGACTTATATTAGTGTTATCTTTTTTAAAATTTATGGCCTTACATCGATCGTCAAGTTTTGCTCAGTACCTAACTTAGCATCACAGTTAGACCTAGTTGATGGACTGCGTTCTTCAGTCCTTGACCAGCACATGTATGTCTATTGTACTCTATCGTAGACCTGCACTAGCCTACCGTACATTATGTAAGAAATTATGTAAGAACTGAGTAATATAATAGATCGGTGCCAGATCTTGATATCCCCCCTCCTCCAAAAACAGCACGATCGATCGAATTTAGTAACTGTGCTCATAGGGAGTGTTGTTTGAATAAACCTTACTTAACTCGTACCTGAATAGGCATAAGTGACGCAATGAAATGATGGTTTGAATTTTTTAAAACATGGTATAGACTTTGAGGTGAATATGATATTTTTTTTTCAATTTTAGAAGCAATCCAGTACAGTGGTTTTAAGTTTGTTTCATATCGTTGTTGTTTCCCACTTCTGAAAAAATGGAATAATGGCCATTCTAAATTGGATTACAGTATAGCCTCTATACTGATTTACATATCAGTCATTCAATTCACACATCTTATTCATTCACCTGCAACATTCCACTAAACAGGCTTAAGCGTGCAAGTATTACTTTGGATTGTGGAGTGTCGTCTGCTAAAAGTGTATCTCGACCTTAATACATAAATAGTAATTAGGCCAACCCTTCATAACATCTTGTGTATGTTTTTCCTACGATATGTTTACTATCTCGTTACACTACTTTTGAGCTTAGTGTACACAGGATTATAGTACAGCGGAAAAAGTTGTTAATATGCTTCACATAATTATTTGTCTGATGAAGGTGACTGTGATTCAAATCTTCTACTGGTTGCATGTGTTATGTGAACTTTTATTTCACATCCTTCTTGTTTAGAACATATATTATGTTCAATCATCAGAAATCTCGTCAATATGATGTTGATTTTTGGGTTTTTTTATGAATTTATTTTCCGTGTTTTAGATTTCACTTATGTTACTTCAAAACTCAGTTACGTTTTTGCGGTAAAATTTTGAAAAGGCTCTCAGTCAGTAAGTGTACATGGTGTCTTCTCACTTAGCCAACATTTTGATTTTTGAGGTATACAGGTAAGGTAGATGTTCGGGTGCGCATGCTAACAGAGCTTGTTGACCTTGCTGTGCCATCCCTCAACATGATTTGTTGTCTGTGGCCCATCGTTGTCATAGTGGTTCCACAAAGCTACAATCTGCCCCTTAACCCATGTTTCTGTAGAATTGTAGATTTTAGTACATATATATTAAGTAATTGCAGCAAATATTTAAGAATTAAATATGATTTCCTACATAAATTGATCTAAATCTTTATTTTATAAATCATATTCAACTTGTCATTTTTTATATTTTCTGTCAAGGAAAGTAGGGACGTACTACAGCTGTAATTCAATCAGGTGTAAAATTTGACATGTTGGCCAGGTATTACAGGTAAATTTCAGCATGTTGGCTAAGTGAGAATGAACCGTGTACATTCCATACCCACCTAAAACACAAGTTATTAAAAATAATTACAATGGCCGTTGCAGGTTAACTTGCAGGTGATCATTTCTTGTACTTGTTTTGAAAAATGTTTTGCCTGTTTTTATTCTGCCAATTATCAATTATTTTTGGAAAAGTAACATAAACAGCAAAAAAATTTGATTACCAGTTGTTATTTATGTGAAATAACTACCAGTAAATAGTATATCTCTACTTTTCTTGTACATTACAAACAATATTTCTTGTATTTTGGTGTTCAGTATACATCTTAAATCATGTAGTTGTAATTATATAAGCCGTTCATGGAATGTTTTCCAAAATGTTTGATATTAGTTGATAAATTAGCATTTGGGGTGAATAAAAATTCATAGTGAAGTAGTAAAATAACCAGTTATTGATTCAAAATTGATTATTTGATTCTTACTGATGGTAACCAGTCATGATTATAAAATTTTAACAGATTAGTATTCTCACAGATTTTTACTTCTAGAATTTTACAGCAGCCTATGCTAGTATAAATCATGAAAATATAACATTTTTTTCTCAAAATTATGCAAAATATTCTTAACTTTTCTTTTATTTTGAGAAAATAGCCTAGTTTTTGGTGTGGGGAAACAGTCTGTTTTTGGCTATAAAACAGGACTGATCTAACACTAGCCTCTGTTCCTGATATTACATTACAGCAGATACACCTTGGGGTCATTTTGGATTGTAATTTAAAAGACATATTTTGGTCACAGTACAGATATGCTGAACTTTCCTTTATTATGGCAAATTAAAATGTTGGAGAACATCATCTCTCTCTCTCTCTATTTATATATATACAAACAAAAACATATTTTTAAAATTTTTGGATGACTAATTTACTGCTTTGAACTATTTGTTTTTAATTTTAGTGATTGCTGGGGTTATACATATTGCTCATTGATTCTATATGCCATGTTATTGATGTCTTCATTCTTTAAAGGACATAGATGATCTCATTCATCAGGCAGTGCCAGGCAACATACTTATGGACAGGCCCTTACAACTGGACCCACAGCTAGGTCAGTCAACTCCCTACTTATTATCTGGGCAGTTAAACATGTAGAACAATGACCTTGAAGAAACTATCTCAAAGTTGACCTTTGTTTGACCTCAAAAGATAGGTTTAAGTTTATGATAAGAGATTGTAAAAGTGACCACTGCCTGTCAGGTCTCTTACAAGTTAAACAACTTTACAATACAGCTCAATGGCTTATAACAGTTACTCACTGTAAGAAATTGAAACCCAGAAATAATTCAGGTATTGTTAATGAACCAAAATTCTATACCTTGTTAACTCAATTCTGATGTATGCAATATCTATCATTTTAAAAAGTCTCTTAACAAGTTAAACAACTTTACAATACAGCTCAATGACTTATAACAGTTACTCACTGTAAGAAATTGAAACCCAGAAATAATTCAGGTATTGTTAATGAACCAAAATCATATACATTGTTAATTCAATTCTCTGATGTATGCAATATCTATCCTATTCAAAAGTTTCCTGGACTTTAATTAGCAAAGACACTGAAATATAGATAATTTTGCAATTATGCCTATTTTAATATGATGTAACCCCTTCCCCCTCTATACACTAACAAATAATGCCCCAACTACTTCATTTCTTTTTGAAATCTGAATTACTTTCCATGGAAAAAAATGTATGTGGTGCTGCAGCCTTGTACAAGGTAAGAAATTATTAAGTCTAGAACAAAACGTACAACTGCACCAAACCTCAAAAGGAAAAAAATAGAATTGTCTATTTACATCAGTTATGATGTAAGGTTATTTCCCACGGGGACTGACATACAGACTACTGTGAAAATTTTAAAATCCCTTCATTGGAAAATGTCATGCCCCAGGGTGTTTATTAGCATTAATAGAATATGTTTTAAATCTAAAGTCTCCCTTGTTAGAACACACTGTATTAATTATCATGACATTATCGGTATCATGTTGTACGTTTATATTATAATTTGAAATGAATTATACATTGAATCTACATGTAAAATGTAAAATTTTCATAATAATCAGAAACAGAAAAAAAATGCTTGTTTGCCCGAAAACCCACTGACATGGATAAACAGAGTCAGTATCAAAAATATTTTGTTTAGTTTTCAACAGTGAATATAAGTTTGTTTTTGAATTCCAGAAATTAAATTATTTGTCTAATGTGCCATTTATTTCATCGCTAGAGCTGCTGTAACAAACATTGGAAATGTTTACGTTTTAAAGTGTTTGTAAATATATAACATACCAGAGCATAATTTATAATCTTCTATACTGTTTTTATAATAAAACTATGAACGATAGTACTATAATAGGAAACAGATTTGGGTAGAGACCGTGATCACTGAGTGTACTGTAGTTTTTTCAGCATTGTATGAATTAACATATGTCAGTCTAACCTCATCACAGCAAGATGAAGATCATCAATTTATCGCCAGGCTTGCGCTACAAAAAAGTTGGGCTTACATTTTATCTAAAAAAATTTACTTGGGTAGACACCTGATTACCACTTAGTATAGAAACATCATTTTTCTAATATTTCTATTTGAATGTTTTGACTTAAATATATTGTAATCTGTAATGTAAAAAGTAATTAGAAATCAGGCTCTGGTATGTTGCATAAAGGTTTTAGAATCCTTTCAAATTTCACTAGCCAATGGTATCTGGCGGTAGGTACCTGGGATTTTCATCATTTTTAAGAGTCAAAGAGAAGTCAAGGAGTTGACAAGTTAATTAAATTCCACAAAATTCTTGCAAGGTTTATCATAGAGGCAAAAAAAGCTGACAAGAAGGTATATTCAAAGAATCTTTTTTTATGTGATAGGATAGAAAAATAACATCACATTCATGTGTCCCAGTACCTAGCATAGCTACCATAACTATGCTGTTTTCTACAAATTAACAAAGATACTCAGTCCTTGGTCAGTAGAGAGAAAAAAAACCCAAGCAAGACAAGTTTTCATTATCAAATTCTCAACTTCCTAAACATAGAGTGCAGTTTTCAGACCTTTTAAATACAAAAAATAATTTTTTCTCTTACATGTATATCAAATTCTGTATTTTAGATGAATGAGAATCTGTTGTTTACTGTTGGTAGGCGAGCTTGAACTGATTGAGAGACTTTATCACATTGCTGGTAAAAATGATGTGTGGCGAAGTTACATTGGGATTGGCTACTACAACACCTACACCCCTCACACCATCCTCAGGAACATGTTTGAGAATCCAGGATGGTAGGTCACTGTAGGCATTTGGAAACATTAAATGAAGTTTTAGTGGGTTCCATCATCCCTTGATTGGATACACTAAGTATAATGAAACAAGAACACATACAACTATGATATGCAAGTTTAAGTAGAGTTTGCTATGCACTTTTAGCATATTTTGTATAGACTAACAATATGTATCATATAACAAGGAACAGAAATGAAATCTGACAGAATTCCTGTTTAACTGGATAACTGTGACCTACTTTTATCATACCCAGGACAACCCAGTACACACCATACCAGGCTGAACTGGCCCAGGGTAGACTAGAGTGCCTTCTCAACTACCAAACCATGGTTTGTGACATGACACGCCTGCCTGTAGCAAACGCTTCTCTCCTGGATGAGGCGACTGCCGCAGCTGAAGCAATGGGGCTCTGCTACAGGTAATATTTATGGGATATTAATTTGAACGGTGGAATATTTTTACAGGATTTTGTTCGAAGTCAGAAGATTAAAAATTCTTCTAATGTAAGAACATAGGGATTTCAAAACATGATTTAGTTGTAATATAATTTAAATACTTCAGCACTAGTTCAATGCCTTATCAGGGATATTACAATATTCATTTTGTCTTTAATGAAAGTCGCAGAAGTGAGACTTCCTGGCAACCTTAAAAATCAGGGATGCTGAATAGCTAGACTTGAAAGTTTTGCATAGGGATCAGTTTCTCATTAAGTACAAATGCTTTCCTATTCCAACTGGGAATATACTTACATTGTGGTATAGACATCATAGATTATCTGTAACTTATTTTCTGTTTTTGCAACAAAAACTTAAGGACTGACTACAAAGTCTTTCAAGGCTTGTTCTTGTCATTATATTTATTTTATAGTAAAATTGAAACAAATTCTGTAATATATCAGACAATTTTATTTCTATGTTTTAAGGAAGTATGATATTTTTGGAGTCATATGTATTGCCACATGTTCATCTACGTGAAACATGATGCTGTTTCTTTATTATACAGACATAACAAACGACGGAAGTTTTACATCGACCGCAAGTGTCATCCCCAGACTATTGGTGTTGTGGAAACTAGAGCAAGGTAAATCACAACTGATTACACTATATCACCGTAACAATTGTCATACATTTACATGTAACAATATATAACCGTTTCGGCGATGATGAATCAATGGATGATATGTATCTTTATGCAGTGCCCTTGGCATCGAGGTAAAGCGAGTTGATTGGAAGGAGATGGAACTGTCCAATCGAGATGTGTGTGGAGTGTTGATCCAGTACCCAGACACAGATGGAAGCGTATTTGATCACACAGAGTTGGTGGTGAAAGCCCACGCTAATGGGGTAAATAGAAAAAATCTTATTTCTATCCAATCATATAACCACACTGCTTCTTTTTAATGTGTTGAATGACCTTAATATCATGACTGGAGGAGGTAACATATCAAAGGTTCATTGTCTTGTCCACAGACCCTGGTGGTATGTGCTACAGATCTGTTGGCCCTGACCATCCTACGGCCGCCAGGAGAGTTTGGAGTGGACATTGCTGTGGGGTCCAGTCAGAGAATGGGGATCCCCATGGGATATGGGGGACCACATGCTGGATTCTTTTCTACACGCAACAGATTCATGCGTCTAATGCCTGGGAGAATGATTGGAGTTACCAGGTAATTGGAATGGATGTTTATAGTGGGTTAATTCATGTATATTGAAGCTGCTGGCTATCATAGAGTGTCAGTGTGGTTAATTATGTAACGATGTACCCGAGATCATTTGTTTTACTCTTGTAGTAGTTATTACAGGTGGACTATTTAAACTTTACTGACAAACAAGCCACATTGCTATAATGTTATTTTGCAGCTATATCCTTTATCAGTCATCTGTTTGTATCTGAATGTTAAGTTTATCTCTTAAAAGATATGAAACTAGGAAATAAGGAATAACAGATTGTAGCAGCATTTTTTTCCAACGAGAAATTTCTCATGATGAAATTTGACTTTATGGAATATTCTGGTATTCTTGTGTGTTGGGTATAAATTACACAATCCCCATTTACGTGCTTCATCCAGCTTTTCTTTATACAGAACCAAACATTTTACTTCTCTGGTCATGAGATATCTATGATGCGCAATATCATGTCAAAAGGTGTAATGAACTCATGCTGTTTGATTTATAATAAAGGTATTTCATATTTGTAATAATTTTGAAATACAAGGTAAGTGATTTCATAAAAAGAATATAGGTTGTAAATAATGGTAGATACATCTCTTATTTAATATTTTTGTGTAAACATAGTCATGTCATGCACACCTCACATAGTAAGATCAATTCAAGAGATATTCTTGTAACTTCAGGGATGCTAACGGAAATGATGCATACAGATTGGCGCTGCAGACAAGAGAACAACACATACGTCGAGACAAGGCTACCAGTAATATCTGTACTGCACAGGTAAGTCAAATGTCTACAGCACAGGTAAATCAGATATCAGTACAGTACAGGTAAATCAGATATCAGTACAGTACAGGTAAGTCAAATATCTGTACAGCACAGGTAAATTAGATATTTATACAGCACAGGTAAATCAGATATCTGTACAACACAGTTAAGTCAGATATTTGTGTATCACAGGTGAGTAAAATATCTGTACAGGGCAGGTACATGTAAGTCAAATATGTGTACTGGTATAGCTTAGGTAAGTCAAATATCTTATGAAACACAAACTAAGCTAGAATGTATATCATCATCATTTGAAAATAGGCACTTCCTGTTAATTTTCTTCATAAATATGTCACATCCTGTTTGATGATTCTAGGCTCTCCTGGCCAACATGTCAGCTATGTATGCTATATATCATGGACCAGATGGACTGAAGCATATTGGTAAACGGGTTCATCATGCCACTCTTATCCTGGCTGAAGGTAAAGTCATCAGCATGGTCACCACAGACAACACATCTTTCTAAGTCATATCATAGCAATAAAGATGAATAAACCTACCATAAGGAAATTCATGACTGAAGTCAATAACATCTAAAAATTTACGTATGTCAATAATATGGGTTTCTGTAATAATTAGAATAATCTTTGGTATGAACAGATGTTCCTTGACATTCAATGCTACATTTCTTTGTAATCATTATTAGCAAATTCTGAGGTCAGGTGTGTGTTACACACAGACAAGGTAATTTTTCAATTTGCCTTGTGTAGCCATGGAAACTTAATACATGTGTATGAAATATGGAAACATAATATTATTAATTGTTTACAGGAATAAAGAAAGCAGGCCATAACCTTAGGACAGAGATGTGTTTTGATACACTTCGATTCATGCCAAAGAATGGCCAGGCTGAAATTCTTCACAGAGCTAGTGTAAAAAAAATTAACCTCCGTTACTATGGAGATGGCCATGTAAGTGTTTCTTGGTCAGATTTCACAAATACTGAATGACTGACTGACTGAATGACTGCATTGTATTAACATATTAGCTGTCTGTGACAGACATACACTACAACTGACCTTGAATGCCTGACTTTAGCTAACAAATACCGGCTGACTGCAAATAAAGAAGTCAAATTTTTCAATATTGGTAGTCAGACTGTAAATAACAGACTCAAATTTTACAAATCCTTTTTGATTGTACATATATATCAAAATTTGGATCTGTAAAGCTTAAAATTATAGAGAATTTTGTTTCCACAATTTTTCAAAACATACACAAATACGAAAGAGACTTTGGCAAAATAATGGTTAAATATGTATGTTGAAAATATCAGTTTTGAAACATAGGGACATCATTACATGATTACCTTCATCCATTACAGCTCTGATATATTCAAACATTATGTAGGTTTGAAAGATGTTATTTATTAAACTGCACTTACAACAATTTGTCTGAAGGAACGTAAATGAATTTGTAATATTTGTAATGTTTATTGTGAGAGTTTGCTTTTACACCAGGTGGGCATTTCCTTAGATGAGACTGTGGAGAGGACAGACTTGAAGGATCTCTTGGAAATTGTTGGCTGTCGAGAATCAGCGGTAGGTTTCGGGTATCTTTCAGAACATCGACTCTGATGAATCAACAGTATTTTTCAGATATTCTTTAGGAGATTGTTGCCTTCTATACATCAGTAATAGACTCTAAAATATTTTTAGGAGAATGTTAGCTGTTTACATCAGCAATTGACTCTCAAATATTTTTAGGAGAATGTTGGCTGTTTTACATCAGCAGTTGACTCTCAAATATTTTTAGGAGAATGTTGGCTGTTATATATTAGCAATAGACTCTCAAAAATTTAGGAGAATGTTGGCTGTTTCACATCAGTAATAGACTCTCAAATATTCTTAGGAGAATGTTGGCTGTTTTACATCAGTAATAGACTCTCAAATATTTTTAGGAGAATGTTGGCTGTTTTACATCAGTAATAGACTCTCAAATATTCTTAGGAGAATGTTGGCTGTTTTACATCAGTAATAGACTCTCAAATATTCTTAGGAGAATGTTGGCTGTTTTACATCAGTAATAGACTCTCAAATATTCTTAGGAGAATGTTGGCTGTTTTACATCAGTAATAAGTGCTCAAAGAATCAGCAGTATTGAAGAGTTTGCTGATGAAGCTGTATAAATATTTTTCCAATTTTTGGTTTAAATGTTTGAATAAGTGTATGATTTACTCTACTATTCTCTTCCTACAAAAGGATTCACTGGCTGAAGAGCTAGGTCCAGAACCAGCCACCAGCATAAGGAGCTCTCCCTTCAGGAGGACAAGTACCTTCCTGCAACATCCGGTTTTTAACAGGTCTATTTGTCTTATTTAACACTACATACTTTTTGTTATACTAAGTACTCTTATTCTCAGACACATTTGAAAATGAGTATTTTCATGCCCTGACTAATTTTTATATTAAGATGGTTATTAGTCATGGTTAAAGGGCCTAAGATCACATATGACAACTTCAGTTCATTCAAAAATGATACTTAAACCTAGCAAGAGGAACATACATTCTGTACAGATATTTCATTGATTTATTTTTACTATAAACCTTGATAGAATCTGATAGGTTACCAGGGTAGTTACTCTTTTATGGTATTAGTTAATAAATTTCAAAATAAAAATATTCTGTGAAATGACTTTGTACATTCATAAAAAATCAGGGACAAATTTAATCAAATTCTAATATTTATATTGATATTGTACAGATATCAGTCGGAGACCAACATTGTACGATACATGAAGTACCTAGAAAACAAGGACTTATCATTGGTCCACTCAATGATTCCACTTGGCTCCTGTACAATGAAGCTCAACAGTACAACTGAAATGATGGTAATGCTATATCATTTTATCTTGGTACATATTCTCCCTGCTGTTTTCCCTGGTGGTACACTTATTCTATCAGTACACTTGTTTGGTTTGGGTCCAATCCATGACTACATGTGATTCACTATGGGTCTGACCAAAGTTTGTCATATTCAGAATATTCTTTATATTGTGTTAATTTCAGAGATAAAAATTATTTATATCTAGTTGAAGGGGCAGAGTTTCCATATGGGAGATGCCATAATAAGAGTTCCTGTTAGCAAACTATCTCTTTGATTTTTAGAAAGTGAAGCTATGCCATACACCTGATTAGATTTTGTTCCTGCGTGATAATCAATTTTATATGTTGAACAAAAAATCCCATCTGGATGTTTACGAAGTTAACCTCAATCTGTTGAATTTTTCATTACTAATTGTTGATTATAATTGATAATCAGCCTAACACGAAATGTTCTAATGTAAGAATTGTTGTAGTCACATTTATTAGAGACAAATACTAGATTGTAGTCCAAATGTAAGGTCGAGTATAGATTAATACTTTTGCCCTATCATTATCTTTATCATCAGGAAACAGTGATTTCTGTGATTAAGACTTAAGGACACCCCATTATTGATTCTTATTTAATTCTCAGAATATTTATGTACCTCCACGTACGTCTAAACAACATTTTAAAGTCACAGGACACAGTTAACCATTACAAGCAACCTAGTCAGAGAGATTTTGCCTTGACTTACTTAATAAAGGAGGTCTGAGATGGTGCTTTTTATTTGGCTTCGGCATCGACATCCATGACAAGAAATTGTGTTAAGATCATTTTCAAAGAAAGAATAGCAATCATGTTAAATCATAATGTGTAAAGCTGAAAAGTGTGAAATTTTTTTTTGCTTTTTAGAATTAGTGAGAATATTACAATTATTCAAATTAAGTTGAAACATCTTCATAACACAATATGTTTTGAAGAATATTGTGTGAGGTTAATGTGCATGTTTTTAGCATTGTAATGTTTTAAAATTGTATTTTTATTCAGCCTTGTTCCTGGAACGAGTTTGCCAACATCCACCCTTTTGTACCATTGCCTCAGACAGAAGGATACAAAGAGATGTTTGAGGAATTGGAGAGAGATTTGTGTGAAATTACCGGTTACGATAAAATCTCATTCCAACCCAACAGGTTTGTGAAGTCTCGTCTGTTGCTAGTGACAGTAATACATGCTGTGTAGGGCTACAATATCATTTGCTTAAACAAACCCATTCAAATTTCAAGGTACAAAAAGCAAGTCTTAAAATGTTTCTCTAAGAATAAGTCACTGATTCCATGGAAAATACAGAGTTACCTCTCTTTGTTTGCTACCTTTCTATAAATCACCATGATACTAGCACTAAAGGAAGAGATACATGTAAGCTGTCAACATTTTAACATTTTAATAGGTATTATTGAAGGGGTAAGGTTTAAGTGGAAGAATAAAACTGGAAATAACCTGTCAGTCTATAGGATAGGTTTGTTATTTAGTTTTTGAATTGATGTAGTAAGGGGAAAATTAGACTGGCATCTGAGAGGACCTGTAAATGATGATGAATATTTGTTGCCTGTTGACAGTGGTGCTCAAGGGGAGTATGCTGGACTGAGAGCAATTATGGCCTACTTAAAGGCTAAAGGACAAGCACAGAGAACAGTAAGTAATTAAAATGGGTCTTTTGAGATCACCTGTGTCAGTTCTTTGCTTCTTTATCAGGCTGATAAACTACCTACAAACTCATAGAAATTGATGTTACTAGTAACTACATAATTACAATATATTGTAAAGTCTCCACAATATCAACGTGTTTGATGTTCTGATAATAGGTATGGGCATTACCAAGTATTTTGAATTTGTTACATTTGCCCACTTACCAAGAAATATATGAATCTCAAATATTATGTTAACCATTCAAAGCAGATAGAAATTAACTGGACTAGTCCTGACAATTTCTTCATTCATCATCTTCATGCTCCAACCCTAGCAACACACATACTCCTGGTCCTGTTTTTAATATAAAAATTCAAATTACAAAATAATCTTCCTTTAAGATTATCTCCCCTTAGACTAAACCATCAATCCCTGTGCTGTAGGTTTGTCTGATCCCCGTGTCGGCTCACGGTACCAATCCTGCTAGTGCCCAGATGGCGGGGATGAAGATCCAGCCCATTAATGTAGACAAGAATGGTTCTGTAAACATGGAACACCTTGCAGCCATGGTAAAGTATACAAGATTTTTCTCAAGAACTAAAACATCAATTTTGATTTTGGAAAATATGAAATATTCAGGATCACTATGAACCAACTTTCTGTTTTGCATGATTTATAATCAGAAATTTTGTGTTTGAAAGAAGATAGTAAGATGTGTAGTAAATAAGACATGGATAATGAACAATAGTTATAGTATAACATAGTTTAGTCAAAAGTTTATTGCTACGATTAAGTGATGCAGAAATCACAAGAGTCAATATCAGTAAAAAATGGTTTCAACAATGCTAATTGCATCAGTTTGTGGGTGGAGTAGTGATGTTTTCTTTTTTCATTAGTCTGTCTATCCTTATCTCCATACAGCACTTTTGTATCTAGATTTTAACTTCTTATAAGTGGTTAGTCTTTGTTGATATATATATTTGTTTTACTCAAAACACTGTGCTGTAGGTTCATCAGAGAGATATCACCTTGTTACCCTTTACTAATCTACTGACACTACATGTAAAAATGTACTTTTTACATTTATAAATGTGTGTGCATCATAAGTGATAATTTTTACAGTTATATAAACAATTTAAAAAGCCATAATGACTCCTCATATATGATTTCAGACGGAAAAGCATAAAGACACACTTGCTTGCCTGATGGTTACCTACCCATCAACAAATGGAGTGTTTGATAAGGACATCAGGTAAGGTACACCGCCATTTAGTATGTACGTCCGTCCATACGTCCATTTCTTGTGAACGCAACTCCTCCTAAACTAATCATCAAATTTTCTTGAAACTTGCTCAATGTCACTACTACAATGGGTAGATGTGCACGAAAGGGCAATTTTTTGGTTCGTTGATTTTTGTAAGATTTATGCCACTTTCAACTTTGTATCTGTAGCTTGCTCATAGTGGAGCTTTGTGAACGCAACTCCTCCTAAACTAATGATCAGATTTTCATAAAACTTGCTCAATATCACTATTACAATGGGTTAGATGTACATGAAGGGGCGATTTTTCGGTTCATTGATTTTTGTAAGATTTATGCCATTTTATCTTGATCTTTATATTTTGTGGCGGCGTATATTGTGTCCACGGCACTCTTGTTCACAATGAATTGGCTTTATTTTGAGGGCTCCTTTCAGGGGGCTGTACATGTGTTAACTTTGACCTACAGGAGTACCAGTGCTGCGTGCACCAGTGTTGGCTATGATCATGTATTTTTATATTTTATGTTACAGGGATATCTGTGATATGATTCACCATTATGGGGGACAAGTTTACCTTGATGGGGCCAACATGAATGCTCAGGTAACCGCATATGTAGTAAAACTTCTAAAAACAAGGACAGTTTCTGATCAGATATAATTATGTATACCACGGGTATTTGAGTCTATGTCAGAAACCCTAGGTTTTAGTGTAGTCCTACATTACAAAAGTCTTTTTGCATAGCTCAGATATGTATCAGTAAAGTTAAGTGTATATCCAGTCTGCATTCAGTTTTCTTCTTGAAGTTTGAAATGAAGAAGAAAAAAGAAAAAACGTGCAGAAGCAATATTGAGGTTATCTTATTTCTGTTAGTTATCAGAAATGCAACAGTAGAAATGATATTATACTTTTCATTTGTAACCATAACAGGTTGGAATCTGTCGTCCAGGAGACTATGGATCAGATGTGTCCCATTTAAACCTTCACAAAACTTTCTGTATCCCCCATGGTGGAGGAGGGCCAGGAATGGGACCTATTGGAGTGTAAGTACATAACCTAACCCTTATGTGGCCACGTCATATGTGGATATTTTGGTTGTTGTGACATTGCAAACAACTGAAAACAAAACGTGATGAAATGTTAATACAAAAAGATATATTCAGCACTGTTATGACATAATGTAGTTATTCCAATTCAGTAACTGATATCTGTGATTGTTTCCTGGTGAAACATGTCTTTATTTTAGGATTCCAATTCAGTAACTGATATCTGTGATTGTTTCCTGGTGAAACATGGCTTTATTTTAGGATTCCAATTCAGTAACTGATATCTGTGATTGTTTCCTTGTGAAACATTGTCTTTATTTTAGGAAAGAATTCAATAGGATTTTTTTTTTGTTATGTTAGGAAAAAGCACTTGGCACCATACCTGCCCACACATCCAGTTATCCCACCTTATGGAACTACTGGTCCAGAGGCCAAGTCATTTGGAGTTGTTTCAGCTGCTCCCTTTGGGTCCAGTGCCATCCTCCCTATTTCCTGGGCTTACATTAAAATGATGGGAGCCAAAGGCTTGCGTCATGCATCGGAGATTGCCATCCTCAACGCCAATTATATGAGCAACAGACTAGAGGGCTATTATAAGACGCTGTACAAGAATGAAAATGGTTAGTGAAAACTTTGCTTTCTTAAGTTGATTATGGAATTGAATATTGAGAGTGCTTACTGTAAATGACACAATCTTCAGATGTATTAAGATGGAGGATGTTAAATCCTAACAAAACAAGAAATTGAACATTGGAATTACTTCTTAGACTTCTTAATAATCAACAAATATTTTTTTAATATATTTTTGTTGATTTCATGGGTAGTGGTAATCCATGAACTTGTTTGACCACAAACTGTGAAAATTGAGCAATATTCATCCTCAAAATATTGTTTTTTTTTTCAAAAAGTAAGAAAATTGGGCCCCACCAAAATATATGATTTTGCAGTAAGTATTAAGGATTGTTAGTTTAGGTACATATTATATCATGGATGTGTCAGTTTTATTGAGTGTACTATCTGTCTATCATATTTTGATTATGTGTAAAAAAAGAATACAAACTGTTACCATGTTGGTAAGATGGTCTTTTTGTTCTACAGACCTTGTTGCACATGAGTTCATCCTTGATTGTCGAGAGTTCAAGAAAACTGCTAACATTGAAGTGATGGATATAGCCAAGCGACTACAGGACTATGGTAGGTTTTAATCTCTTTTAGACTTTAGTAAAAATGTTTTCTTTGTACTCTTATTAGCTTACTTGGCCCTTCAAGTGAGCTTATGGCATATCGCATTGTCCATCATCTATCAACATCTTACTTTTTAACCTTCTACAAAACCACTGAACCAATTTTGACCAAATTTGATATGAAACATAACTAGGATGTAGGGACCTGATTTTTAAAAATTTACACAGCTGCGCTCCAAGGGACCTGAGAGGCAGTGCCTAATATGTCAAAAATGGGGTCAGTTGAGATCTTCCCCTATATATGACATTGCAGGGCACCAAGAGATATAGACAATCATGATGTAAGAATTGGCCCAGGAGTCTTAGAATTTATGACATTTGTTAGGTTGTACACCAAGGGGCCTCTGGGTGGGGCCAAATGGATAAAAAATGGGACCCTATTTTAAAATTTTCTTTTCTCTTAACAGTAGCAGAGAATAAAGAACATTTGATTAAAATTGTCAGACATCTTTTATTCTAAATATTTATATGAAAATGTAAGTATACTTTCCTTATATTACGAAATTGATAAATGTATAAGATGTCATAAATCATTTAAATGTCTTTAAGGGAATTTTCAAAAAAGAATAGAGAGAGGGAAACTTCAACCAGTTGAGCTGTACAAGCCTTCTATGCCTCTTGTTTATTGTTAAGAGCCAATGAAAGCTTGCAGTAAAATCCTTATATTAGAAGTCAGTGTCTGCCTTCAGTAAAATTCTTTATTAAAAATCAGTGTCATCATTCCCACAAAAACAACCTTGATTAGGAGTCAGTGTCTGCCTTCAGTAAAATCCTTATATTAGAAGTCAGTGTCAACATTCAATTAAATCCTTTCATTATTTTATATTAATAGAAGCTCCACTCTGTTTATAGTAAGATTATTTTATGTTAATTAAATCTCCACTCTGTTTATAGTAACATTATTTTATGTTAATTAAATCTCCACTCTGTTTATAGTAACATTATTTTATGTTAATTAAATCTCCTGTTTATAGTAAGATTATTTTATATTGATTAAACTCTGTTTATAGTAACATTATTTTATATTGATTAAATCTCCACTCTGTTTATAGTAACATTATTTTATGTTAATTAAATCTCCACTCTGTTTATAGTGATTAAACATTATTTTATGTTAATTAAATCTCCACTCTGTTTATAGTAACATTATTTTATGTTAATTAATGTTAATTAAATCTCCACTCTGTTTATAGTAACATTATTTTATATTAATTAAATCTCCACTCTGTTTATAGTAACATTATTTTATGTTAATTAAATCTCCACTCTGTTTATAGTAACATTATTTTATATTGATTAAATCTCCACTCTGTAGTAACATTATTTTAGTAAGATTATTTTATATTAGATGGGGCTCCACTCTGTTTATAGTAAGATTATTTTATGTTAATTAAATCTCCACTCTGTTTATAGTAACATTATTTTATGTTAATTAAATCTCCACTCTGTTTATAGTAAGATTATTTTATGTTAATTAAATCTCCACTCTGTTTATAGTAACATTATTTTATGTTAATTAAATCTCCACTCTGTTTATAGTAACATTATTTTATGTTAATTAAATCTCCACTCTGTTTATAGTAACATTATTTTATATTGATTAAATCTCCACTCTGTTTATAGTAAGATTATTTTATATTAGATGGGGCTCCAGTCTGTTTATAGTAAGATTATTTTACATTAGATGGGGCTCCACTCTGTTTATAGTAACATTATTTTATGTTAATTAAATCTCCACTCTGTTTATAGTAAGATTATTTTATATTATTTTACTCTGTTTATTAAGATTATTTTACATTAGATGGGGCTCCACTCTGTTTATAATAACATTATTTTATGTTAATTAAATCTCCACTCTGTTTATAGTAAGATTATTTTATATTGATTAAATCTCCACTCTGTTTATAGTAAGATTATTTTATATTAGATGGGGCTCCACTCTGTTTATAGTAAGATTATTTTATGTTAATTAAATCTCCACTCTGTTTATAGTAACATTATTTTATGTTAATTAAATCTCCACTCTGTTTATAGTAAGATTATTTTATATTGATTAAATCTCCACTCTGTTTATAGTAAGATTATTTTATGTTATGGGGCTCCACTCTGTTTATAGTAACATTATTTTATATTGATTAAATCTCCACTCTGTTTATAGTAAGATTATTTTATATTGATTAAATCTCCACTCTGTTTATAGTAAGATTATTTTATATTAGATGGGGCTCCACTCTGTTTATAGTAAGATTATTTTATATTAGATGGGGCTCCACTCTGTTTATAGTAAGATTATTTTATGTTAATTAAATCTCCACTCTGTTTATAGTAACATTATTTTATGTTAATTAAATCTCCACTCTGTTTATAGTAAGATTATTTTATATTGATTAATCTCCACTCTGTTTATAGTAAGATTATTTTATATTAGATGGGGCTCCACTCTGTTTATAGTAAGATTATTTTATGTTAATTAAATCTCCACTCTGTTTATAGTAACATTATTTTATGTTAATTAAATCTCCACTCTGTTTATAGTAAGATTATTTTATGTTAATTAAATCTCCACTCTGTTTATAGTAACATTATTTTATGTTAATTAAATCTCCACTCTGTTTATAGTAACATTATTTTATGTTAATTAAATCTCCACTCTGTTTATAGTAACATTATTTTATGTTAATTAAATCTCCACTCTGTTTATAGTAAGATTTTATATTAGATGGGGCTCCACTCTGTTTATAGTAAGATTATTTTATATTAGATGGGGCTCCACTCTGTTTATAGTAAGATTATTTTATGTTAATTAAATCTCCACTCTGTTTATAGTAACATTATTTTATGTTAATTAAATCTCCACTCTGTTTATAGTAAGATTATTTTATATTGATTAAATCTCCACTCTGTTTATAGTAAGATTATTTTATATTAGATGGGGCTCCACTCTGTTTATAGTAAGATTATTTTATGTTAATTAAATCTCCACTCTGTTTATAGTAACATTATTTTATGTTAATTAAATCTCCACTCTGTTTATAGTAAGATTATTTTATGTTAATTAAATCTCCACTCTGTTTATAGTAAGATTATTTTATGTTAATTAAATCTCCACTCTGTTTATAGTAACATTATTTTATGTTAATTAAATCTCCACTCTGTTTATAGTAACATTATTTTATATTGATTAAATCTCCACTCTGTTTATAGTAAGATTATTTTACATTAGATGGGGCTCCACTCTGTTTATAGTAAGATTATTTTATGTTAATTAAATCTCCACTCTGTTTATAGTAACATTATTTTATGTTAATTAAAGATCCACTCTGTTTATAGTAAGATTATTTTATATTGATTAAATCTCCACTCTGTTTATAGTAAGATTATTTTACATTAGATGGGGCTCCACTCTGTTTATAGTAACATTATTTTATGTTAATTAAATCTCCACTCTGTTTATAGTAACATTATTTTATGTTAATTAAATCTCCACTCTGTTTATAGTAACATTATTTTATGTTAATTAAATCTCCACTCTGTTTATAGTAAGATTATTTTATATTGATTAAATCTCCACTCTGTTTATAGTAACATTATTTTATGTTAGATGGGGCTCCACTCTGTTTATAGTAACATTATTTTATGTTAATTAAATCTCCACTCTGTTTATAGTAAGATTATTTTACATTAGATGGGGCTCCACTCTGTTTATAGTAACATTATTTTATGTTAATTAAAGATCCACTCTGTTTATAGTAAGATTATTTTATATTGATTAAATCTCCACTCTGTTTATAGTAACATTATTTTATATTAGATGGGGCTCCACTCTGTTTATAGTAAGATTATTTTATGTTAATTAAAGCTCCACTCTGTTTATAGTAACATTATTTTATATTAGATGGGGCTCCACTCTGTTTATAGTAAGATTATTTTATATTAGATGGGGCTCCACTCTATAAGTAGTAACATTATTTTGTATTATGTTTATTAGGTTTCCACTCTCCCACAACTTCCTGGCCTGTGGTAGGCACCCTCATGATTGAACCAACAGAATCAGAAGACAAGGAGGAACTGGACAGATTCTGTGATGCTCTCATTGGTAAAATTAACCTTAACTTTGCAACTCGAAATACAGAGAAATAATGAAATTACTTCTTATGGATGATATAGACCAGACCTATATGTTTAACAAACAAAAGTTATTGTTTCATTGATTTTATTTTAGCAATACGAAAAGAAATCCAGATGATCGAGGAGGGGAAAATAGATTCTCGAAACAACCCTATAAAGGTAATTTACAGAGTATTGATTTTGTATAGTAACTTAATGTAACTATATTTAACTGAATGTAATAACCCTATAAATGTTGCTGACTGACTGCAATAACCCTATAAAAGTTACTGAATGATTGTGATAACCCTATAAATGTTACTGACTGACTGCAATAACCTTATAAATGTTACTGACTGACTGCAATAACCCTATAAATGTTACTGACTGACTGCAATAACCCTATAAATGTTACTGACTGACTGCAATAACCTTATAAATGTTACTGACTGAGTGCAATAACCCTATAAATGTTACTGACTGACTGCAATAACCCTATAAATGTTACTGACTGACTGCAATAACCTTATAAATGTTACTGACTGAGTGCAATAACCCTATAAATGTTACTGACTGACTGCAATAACCCTATAAATGTTACTGACTGACTGCAATAACCCTATAAATGTTACTGACTGACTGCAATAACCCTATAAATGTTACTGACTGACTGCAATAACCCTATAAATGTTACTGACTGACTGCAATAACCTTATAAATGTTACTGACTGACTGCAATAACCCTATAAATGTTACTGACTGACTGCAATAACCCTATAAAAGTTACTGAATGATTGTGATAACCCTATAAATGTTACTGACTGACTGCAATAACCCTATAAATGTTACTGACACTGCAATAACCCTATAAATGTTATTGACTGACTGCAATAACCCTATAAATGTTACTGACTGACTGCAATAACCCTATAAATGTTACTGACTGACTGCAATAACCCTATAAATGTTACTGAATGACTGCAATAACCCTATAAAAGTTACTGAATGATTGTGATAACCCTATAAATGTTACTGACTGACTGCAATAACCCTATAAATGTTACTGACACTGCAATAACCTTATAAATGTTACTGAATGATTGTGATAACACTATAAATGTTACTGACTGACTGCAATAACCCTATAAATTTTAATGACTGACTGCAATAACCCTATAAAAGTTACTGAATGATTGTGATAACCCATAAATGTTACTGACTGACTGCAATAACCCTATAAATGTTACTGACACTGCAATAACTCTATAAATGTTACTGACAGACTGCAATAACCCTATAAATGTTACTGACACTGCAGTAACCGTATAAATGTTAATGACTGACTGCAATAACCCTATAAAAGTTACTGAATTATTGTGGTAACCCTATAAATGTTATTGAATGATTGTGATAACCCTATAAATGTTACTGACACTGCAATAACCCTATAAATGTTACTGACTGACTGCAATAACCCTATAAAAGTTACTAAATGATTGTGATAACCCTATAAATGTTACTGACTTAGTGCAATAACCCTATAGATATTGCAGACTGACTGAAATAACCCTATAAAAGTTACTGAATGATTGTGATAACACTATAAATGTTACTGACGTTTACACCTTGATATATAAGTCATGTGTCAAACACAAGTTCAGTACAGAGTGACATGGTGGTTCTATCAATAATGTAAACACATATTTTTATGTTTTAATGCAGAATGCTCCACACAGTCAGGCAGTTGTCATGGGGACACAATGGGACTATCCTTATACTAGAGAGGTAGCAGCTTTTCCATTGGTAAGCCTCAATATTTTTTTTTATTTTTGAGAAATTTGTTACTTTGGATAAAAAAATAACAAAATCCAAGTTAAGTGTGAAAACTGATATTTTTGAAATGATAGTCCAGTACATATATACCATAAATTTAACATTATTTCCTTGCATGTATTCACTATATTACATTTCTTTATAATACAGAGCAATGTCCACTTCAATTATGTCATCCATTCTCATTTCACAGGGTTATTACCCAAAAGTTCAAGCTGAATTAATTTAAATTGGTTTTCAATATGACCCAAGGATGTGAATCCTAATATCAGTTTTCTGAACTAGAATTAGGGCACATTGACTTGTCCTTTTGGCTGATGAAGTTTGATACTGAATGTTCTCCACTTTCCTAAGTGATATATGAATTTTAATATGTTGATATATTACAAGATGGCTTCAGAAAATGAACATAACAATCTGTTATACAATAAACTCAAACTGTTCGACATGTGTCAACCATACAGTCCTCTGTCCCTTCTCAATTACTGTAAGTAATTGAAAACTAATAATGTCTTTTCCTTTGCAGCCCTACATTCTACCTGAATCAAAATTCTGGCCTACAGTGAGCCGTATTGATGATATTTTTGGAGACCAGAACCTAGTGTGTACCTGTCCACCAATGTCCAGCTATGAATCTCCCTATGTAGACAAACTTAAGAAAGAAAAGGTGGCCACGGCATGAAATTTTAAAATGGAATTCAAAGCACTACAAGAATACTGAAGATTCTAGAAAATGAGTGATATTGAATACAGTTTGACCTTTAAGATCTATGTAGAATTTCTTTTGTTTAGAACTAGAATCATCAACTTTTGCTGATTAAACATGTGATTGATGCAATGTACTTTGACTTTATGTGAAACAGAGCTTTAATTTATATATTAGAGAGTTCAAAGGTGTAAGTTTAAAGGTTTTAAGGCAGAAGTCAACAGGAATGATCTGGTGATTCAGGATCAGTATAATGTAATGAATTATTTATAATTTTGATTATTTCATGGTGAAATTATGTAAATTATTGACACTTCCATAAGGTTATGTATGTGTGAAGGCAGTGGTGTTGTCTTGCTGATGTGTGTAAGGGCAAGAACAATGACTGGTTTGTGTGTGAGGGTACACACATTGTTTTGTTGGTATGTGTGAGGGTTTGGATATTTTTGTGACTAATCTGAATGCAAGGGCATTGACACTTTCTGGCTGGCATGTTTGAGAGAATGGACACTGTCTCACTGGCTTATGTGAGAGCATGGGCATTGCCTGGCTAGCATGTGTGAATGATGTCTGATGTATAAGAGGGTATTTTTTGCTGCCTAATAGTGGGTATAAGGGCATGCACATTGCCTCTGACAAAAATATGTAGGAAGGTGTATACAATACAAACTTGTTTTGTTTTACAACAACTGTAAAACAGGCTATCATCTTACATGAATTACTCTTGTTGGCCTAAATGGGATCTTACTGTAGGAGAAACCGGAGTAACCAGGGGAAAACCCACCTGATCGGGTAGGCGACACCCACACCTTTTCACATCTGTTACATGGTGTTAGTCTGGTATGTACGATGACATTTGTATTTTCTGTGATATTTGAATGCTTTTATAATGTTAATTTATTATATATGAGGGCATTATTTTTGTGTGATGGGGGTGTATGAGTGTATGAATACTGAATGACTAGTGTATATGAGGGAAGATATATTGTCTGTCTGATATATATTGTCTGACTGGTGTGTGTGTGTGAGGACAGGGATGTCTGACTGATATGTATGAGGGCATTAGTATTGTCTGACTGGTGTGTGTGTGAGGGCAGTGATGTTTGACTGATATGTATGAGGGCATCAGTATTGTCTGAATGGTGTGTGTGAGGGCAGAGATGTCTGACTGATATGTATGAGGGCATCAGTGTTGTCTGACTGGTGTGTGTGAGGACAGGGATGTCTGACTGATATGTATGAGGGCATCAGTATTGTCTGACTGGTGTGTGTGAGGACAGTGATGTCAGATTGGTGTGTATGAGGGCATCAGTATTGTCTGACTGGTGTGTGTGAGGGCATCAATATTGTCAGACTGGTGTGTGTGAGGACAGGGATGTCTGACTGATATTTGTGAGGGCATCTGTATTGTCTGACTGGTGTGTGAGAGCGGATATGTCTGACTGATATGTATGAGGACATCAGTATTGTCTGACTCATGTGTGAGGACAGAGATGTCTGACTGATATGTATGAGGGCATCAGTATTGTCTGACTCGTGTGAGGACAGTGATGTCTGACTGATATGCATGAGGGCATCAGTATTGTCTGATTCATGCATGAGGGCATCTGTATTGTCTTACTGGTATGTGAGTGCAGAGATGTCGGACCGATACGTATGAATGCATTTGTACTTAATACTAACTAGTGCGAGAGGAAGAATGCTGCGTGGCTGATTTCAGTGAATTTGTGGGTAAGGACTTTGACCTGATTTTATACCTTTAGGCCATGCTGATAAAACTGCTGAAATACAATTGACATCTTAATTAGAAAAATAAATACCATATATGGTATTTAAGAATCAATGACACATGCATCAAGTTTATGATAGTATTTTTTTCTTGTTATCCTTATTGGATAGTACTGTAAGTAAGGGCTACTATTTCTTCTCAAACATCTGTTTTCTGTTGAAGTAAAGGTGATAATTGTCCCACTATTAAATGATAGTAAATTTATTGATGGTTTTATCACATATCTGATTCCAACACATCTTGCTTACTTAATCATCAGAGTTATACTTCCACTTTGCAAAATGCTGAAAATTTAGAACATCTGCATATATGAATGGATGTCTGTTGTTTGGATAAGTTAATGTTAGGGTACACCTGTAATCAGTGCTGAGGTTAATGGTCAAGGTCACAATACACCTGTATTCTGTTCTGAGGTTAAATGTTGAGGTCATCACACCTGTATTCTGTTCTGAGGTTTAAGGTTGAGGTCACCACACCTGTAATCAGTACCGAGGTTAATATTTGGGGTCACAGTATACCTATATTCATTAGCGACTTAAAAGATCAAGACTGTCGTATACCAGGTCCCTATACTGATAATGAGAAAGGATAAGATCATAGCTCACCTGTATTCATCAGGTGAAGCTTAAATTATAAAATCATTTAAGTCCAGAAAGTGACCGTACAGCAGAAAATTATTGTTTCTTAATTCAGTCATGTATAATCTGTGTTAAAAAAATCTGTTTTGTTATTTTTTTATTTGAATTTAGAACCTACTGTTCTTTGAGATAAATCTATTCCTTATGACTGATTTGATAAATATGCAAAAAAAATGCATCAAAGCAATCACCATGCAATATTTAATACAACACACCTTTGTTTATTGTTGTTTTTTTTTTTAAATGTAACAATGTTGTTTATTTTGTATTTCTTTTATATATATATATTAGTATATAACTACAACTTACCTTTGTTTTCAGTACTATTTTTATGGGCAGATGAAAATATTCAATAAATTAGAATTAATCTAGTTACACCAGTGTACCTCTGACCACAATCTGTCCATATCCCTTTATTGTTAGGAAGGTAAAAGACACCTTTTCTTGTATAGAAACCAAACCAATGATGTTGGTGTAGAGATACAGAGGTTGATATTATGTTGTATTCAAGTACATAAAGCAAGACACTTTTTGGTTTTCTCTACACCACTATCATAACATGTATACTGTATTGTGTACATGTATTTGATTTAATACTTGTGTATGTAACAGGGAGATCTGATTTTATGTATATTGTATAATACACAAGAATACATTCTGTACTGAAAAGAAAATAATAAGTGATATATATAATGTTACATGCATGTATTGAAAAGAACATGATGTATAATGATGATGTGTATTTTATACATGAATACACTATATAACGAGTAGAGCAGAATAGCTTATTTATACATATGGAAGACAGAATAGTAATTTCTAATGATAATAAATACTGTATTATGTGCATGGATACACTGTGATGTTGTGTATATAGACATGGATGATTGATGGATTTAGTGTAAAATACAGTGTTATACATACATAATATACATTGTATTTTGTAAATGAATACACTGATGTTGTGCATGGTATTAAATACATTGTAATACATGTATATAATCTACATTGTATCAAGTACATGAATACACTGATGTTGTGTATGGTATTAAATACATTGTAATACATGTATATAATCTACATTGTATCAAGTACATGAATACACTGATGTTGTGTATGGTATTAAATACATTGTAATACATGTATATAATCTACATTGTATGTATGAATACACTGATGTTGTGTATGGTATTAAATACATTGTAATACATGTATATAATCTACATTGTATCAAGTACATGAATACACTGCCACTGTGTATATAGAGTAATGATGTAGAGGGATGATTTCGAGGTGTAAATACAGTGTAATACAGTGTATAATATAGTGAATATGGCTGCATGAGTTACTGAAATCTACTTGTATTATATCAGACATATGTAGATGATGTAGGTATGTAACAATGATTGTTTTTTTATCAGATAGTGACTACCCTTGTTAAATGTTTTGTGATATAGAAACTGTGTAATTTGGATTAATATCCAACATAGTATTAATCTTATACTACAGAATATCATCTTCAGACTGGTTTACCTACGTTCCTAATATTAATGAGAGTTACCTGTTAATATGTATTAAATACATGATAATTTTCTATATATATTTGCTCACATCAATAATTGAATTGTTCTATGCTTACAGTAACTGATAAACTTAATAGCAATTTTAATGAACTTCCTCTTTGATCTGAGATTTTTTACTTTGCTGTAATATTGACTGAAGTAACAGTTTTTTTTTCTGATCTGATCATGAGAATTCTAGAAACTAATAATTTTTTCATGATGTTAGAACAGTATGGGATCTGAGTTATTCTACATTTTAAAATCATTTCTCAGCAGTTGTGCTACTATTCATGTTTTTACAATTTCCTATTTTTGTTGAACATGTTCATCACATAAGTATATAAATCTGCATATTGTTTGGGATATTACTGACAAGACATGTTTTATTGGAAGTGTGATATTTGAAAATCATTATTAATCATTATGCTGTAAAACAAAGGCATTTGTTGAAGAGAGATTTTAATTTGAAGGAGGAGAATTTATGGATATTATTTCACTCCTGGCATGTCTGCATTGTATTGAAATTTGGAGGAAACTCATTTCTTAACATTTTCATTTGGTTTTTCCAATATATTGAAATAAGTTTTTTCCTATTTCAAAGAAACATTGGTAATTGTTCGCAAAATGATGCAGAGTTGCATCCCTTACATGTAGAAACTATTATCAAATCATATAGTTTACATTTCCAAATGAAGGAGAGAGCTAATCTATACATTGATGATAATCAGTGTATATGAACCTGAACAATAGATCAGTAAAGACCTACTAACATAGGGTTCAGACAAGTGAATCAGAGATACATTGCTGTCAGTTAAGATATTTATTGAGCGTCTGGGGTTAGACACATTGCCATTGTTATAGCAGCTTTGTAAGGTGAAATCAGACACAAATCTTTTAGTCCACAATATACATATTGTGTTCACATAATTACCCAGTAAAACCTGTCTCCCCTGTAACATATAAAACTTGTTATTATAACTTCATTCTTTTTACCCTGATAATAAATGCATTTGATCTCTTTGATATCTTGCATTTCGTTTTATTTGAATTTCTTTGTCCACTACTGTCTCTTTGGACTATATTCAATAAGTTCTATTGCTATGGACTGTACATTTTGAAGACCCTGTTTTTTATCAGCTCACCTGGCCCAAGGGCCTTGTTGTAATGTACTGTATTTTCAGTAGACCCTGTTGTTATGGACTGTGCTTTCAGTAGATCCCGTTGTTATGGACTGTACGTTCAGTAGATCCCGTTGTTATGGACTGTACTTTCAGTAGACCCTGTTGTTATGGACTGTACGTTCAGTAGATCCCGTTGTAATGTACTGTACTTTCAGTAGATCCCGTTTTTATGGACTGTGCTTTCAGTAGACTGTTGTTATGGACTGTACTTTCAGTAGACTGTTGTTATGGACTGTGTTTTCAGTAGACCCTGTTGTGATGGACTGTACTTTCAGTAGGTCCCGTTGTAATGGACTGTACCTTCAGTAGACCCTGTAGTAATGGACTTTACTTTCAGTAGATCCTGTTGTTATTGACTGTACTTTCAATAGACCCTGTTGTTATGGACTGTACTTTCAATAGACCCTGTTGTTATTGACGGTACCTTCAGTAGACCCTGTTGTTATTGACTGTACTTTCAATAGTCCCTGTTGTTATGGACTGTACTTTAAATAGACCCTGTTGTTATGGACTGTACTTTCAATAGACCCTGTTGTTATGGACGGTACCTTCAGTAGACCCTGTTGTTATTGACTGTACTTTCAATAGACCCTGTTGTTATGGACTGTACTTTCAATAGACCCTGTTGTTATGGACTGTACTTTCAATAGACCCTGTTGTTATGGACGGTACCTTCAGTAGATCCCGTTGTTATGAACTGTACTTTCAGTAGATCCCGTTGTTATGGACTTTTAATCAATTGTTTATCATTACAACAGATGAATAAGAAATCATACCGAAACAATGTAACACTGATGATAACATCTTAAGTCTCTTTCAAATACACGTTTCTAAGGAGATGCATCTGGAAGGATTAAACCTCCAAATGTGAAACAAAGGCAAATCCTTAATCATTTAGTTAAGAATTTTCCTTTCCAAGAAAGCCGACAAGGAAAGCCAAACGACGATACAAGTACTGTATGTGATTGTGAATAAACCTGGTGCGTACAAAGTGAAAGTGAAAAGCACGGCCAAAATCAAAATCAAATATTGAATTAAAGATTAAATATTCTTGGAATGAAATTAATCTGGTTGATATCTTGTTGAGAACATGTACGTTGAGTTTGAGATAAAATGGCGTATGTTGTAGTAGAACGGAACCGTCACTTTGCTGATTTGTTATTGTTTTAACCTACAAGACTTAATTAATCGAAGACCTTATCAGAACTAAGACCTTCCGTCGTCCTTCAGCTTCTCTCCACTAGAAGTAGGAAATAGGGCTCTGTCGATCGGATATTCCTTTCAGTTCTGTCTCTCCCTGTATTGTTAGTACACCAGTCATCACGTGTATGTTCCTTTCTCGATAATAATGCCCCTTTTCCCCAGCTGGTGCGGTATGACATTTTGCATTTTCAGTACCTATCATGTACGATAATTTTCTTTTCATAACGATTTCGTTAAGTAAACGTGACATTTCTTATATCCAATATACAACTTTATTTATATTTCCACCTCTAATGAGGGCGAGATCGGATAAATGATCGGAGTTCCAGTTGACAATATTTTGGCTAGCAGTAAGATCTCCTTACCGACTCTTGGCATACACATAGGAGTACACTACTCTCTCTTGTTTGAATTCGTTCTGTTTTCATATGAGATTATAATTGCTATAATTTCGTTATCTTCATTTAGAGGAAATCTATTGACGATGTCCATCATATATAACCACCAGAATTGGAAATTAAGGACACAACAGAGTCTCCCACATCAGCCGCTTACCTAAATATTTTCAAACAACAAAAACTAAAAAAATTTTTTTTATCAAACTCTTTTATAAGCGCGAAGATTTCGACATCCTTAACCTGATATTTACATGTCGCAGTCGATTCGATATTCAAAGGCTTATTCTAAAAATTATTCTCATAAGAGATGTCGGCAGTTCACAGATAACCTTACCTTACAGAGAAGCAGATTAATGAAAATTATGGGAAAGTGTTACGTTCGTTATCATGATGTCGTTGGGGGGAATATCGATGTTCTATAGTGCTCGTAAAATTCGTTATTGTTGACATTGTTCTTATTTAAGAACGTGACATGATTTACGTGGATTTGACTAAACAAGATTTACCAGGCGAGTGTCTTTGATGAAGCAGAAGGCTCTTCTAGAACACCTGGTCTTATTCTCCTTGTACTTTTTCAAGATGTGACATGAACGTCTGCCTTTTTTCGAAATGGAGAAAAGATGAGTCATGATGACAACACGTACTTCATTGATCGATGATGTATGTATGATAATTAAATTACAAGGATTTGATATGTAAAATCTAAAAACCTTATTAGGATCAGTGTTATTTTCTTGGGTGATGAAAACATTACTTTAGCCTAAAAGGAAAAGTGTGCCAGATTGTCTTTTCTCCAATGTATCGAGAGGCGTTTCATTACATGTGGAGTATAAAGCGAAACAGATAAATGATCTTACTACCAGAATAGGGATATGTCTTGTATAGGAGATTTATACCACTTGTGAGGGCGCTGTTTAAAGTGCATTAACTTATTCCCTCTTGTATGGTGCAGAAACCCCCCCCCCCCCCCATCCTGTAGGTGGCACATCACACAAGACCAAATTCACGGTGAGGACCAAAAGGGTATCAAATTCGAGTATGTCTGGTATTTTTTATACATACGGTAGGTGCATACTTTAATGGAATTTTATTTAATTCAGAGCTTTTGTATTTTTACTAAATGCCATGAATTCGTTGGTCCAGAGTCACCTGTAACTGTTGTAGAAACCACTGATTTGTTGCTCCAGAGCCTGAGTGTACTATCTTAAATGTCACTGTGGATTTGCTGATCCAGAGTGTATGCACTACTCTTAAATACCACTGTTTTTGTGGTGAATGCATCAGGAAAGTAGATCTATCCCGTGACAAATGAACTACCTTTTCACGAATCGGGACATATACTGTCTCTGTATTAATGTGTTTTTAAAACCTACAAGGCTTTTTAAAAATCTATCCTTATTGATTTTTTTCAACTCGGAAGTCCTTGATGAACGAGGATTTCTTGTTTCATTTTGACATTTAAACAACAGACAGTTAATGGCGATAATTAAGGTTGTATTACCCTTTAACTATCTAAAAAACAAGTTTTTTTTGTTACGAAATATCTATCTCTTCATATTAAAATGCACGTGGGCAAGTGCGTTTACATCTGTATGGAAAATGAATGACAGATTAATATTTGATATTTAATACATTTGTTTACTTATCATTAAAACAGGTAGGGTTCACGCATGAATACTTTAAAACTTAATACATTTTTTATACTCCGTGGACTTGTTAATTAAATTTCTTCTTTATTCAATTATGCTTCTTAATGACCTGTCGCCCATAATTAATATGCATTCCTGTGGGGTGATATA